AGCAACACCTATAATGAGGGGTGGCGCCAGCATCCCAACTTCTCTTGGGGCAGCAACACCACTAAGCCACCTGGTTTCCCATCACCAGCAGGTGGTTTTCAACAGAGGCAGCCCTACCAGGCTCGACAGGGGCCAGTTCCACAGCAGCAGCCCTACCAGCCTCGACAAGGGCCAGTTCCACAGCAGCAGCCCTACCAGCCTAGGCAAGGGCAACCCTTCCAGCAGCCCCAGCGCCAGTTTGCCGAGCCAGCAGCAGCTCCAGCTCCAGATACTCAGATGACGAAGCTGGAAAATATTCTGGCTTCATTCATGACGAGCACTCAGGCGACTATCACGAGGTTGGACCAGAGTGTAGCCTCACTGGAGGCAGGTCAGAGGAACCAGGGTGCCATTTTGCAGGATCTGCAGACCCAGGTGGGCATCTTGGCCCGCCAGAACACCACCAGGGCACCGGGGACTTTGCCTGCCACCACTGTCCCGAATCCTCGGGATCCTCACCAGCTCCAGCAGCTTGATGCCATCACTACCAGGAGTGGCAAGACCACATCAGCTGCTCCTGCCCAGCCTAGTCGAGATGATCCACTACCTGTTTCAACACTTCCAGCTGATACTACAGACGTGGGGGAAGGCACAACAACGCCTGCTCCCAAGCCACAGCCAGTGGTTAAGGAGCATGTACCTCAGCTTCCTTTCCCCACTCGCCTGCATAAAGACAGGCTGGAGACTGAGTTTGCCAAGTTCATGGCAATGTTGAAGCAGGTCAACATCATCATGCCGTTCGTGGAGGCACTGTCAAAGATGCCCAAGTATGCCAAGTTCATGAAGGACCTCCTCACCAACAAAAAGAAACTTGGGGATCTTTCGACAGTGATGCTGAGCGAGGAGTGTTCTGCCATCCTGCAGAACAAGCTGCCCGAGAAGCGAAAAGACCCAGGGAGTTTCACTATCCCTCTTGTTATTGGCAGCATGCATGTAGGAAAGTCCTTGGCGGACCTAGGCGCTAGCATAAATGTCATGCCTTATAATCTGTTTAAGAAGCTAGGCCTAGGTGAACCTAGAACTACTAGGATGAGCATTCAGTTAGCTGATCGTTCTATCGTGCATCCTAGGGGTATCATTGAGGACTTGCTTGTTAATGTGGGTGCTTTCACATATCCTGTTGACTTTGTTATTTTGGATATAAATGAGGATGTGGATGTACCTTTGATTTCAGGTAGACCGTTTCTCGCCACCGCCAAGGCGCTTATTGATGTGCATAGTGGTAAATTGATTCTGCGTGCTGGCGATGAACAGGCTACTTTTTCTGTGTCTGAGAATGGGAAACACCCTCATTTGCATGATGACATAGATTACTGTGATATGCTTGCTGATTATGAGACCGCACTCGCCATCACGAGTGCGGGTACTGACGATGTTCTTGAGCGTTGTATTTTGCTAGGTGAGCAGGCATCGCAGGAGCCGCAGCTGGCGGAGCAGTTAGCCGAGTTGGAGAGTGGCCCCTTCTTGGAGGGCGACAGGCTGTTTAAACCGATCTCATCCTCCACCCGCATCGCTACTTCCTTGGAGGAACCACCAGAGCTGGAGCTTAAGCCCCTCCCTCCTCATTTGGAGTATGCATTTCTTCGAGAGGGGAATAAGCTGCCAGTCATCATCAGCTCGACCCTCACACCTGAGCAGAAGACCAGACTGGTGGCCTTGCTAAAGCGGTACGAGCGAGCCCTCGCATGGAAGATCACAGACATCCGGGGGATCAGCCCTTCTTTCTGCTCCCACCGGATACTGATGGAGGATGAGATGCGGCCAGTGAGACAGCCGCAGAGGAGACTGACACCGAACCTGGAGGCTGTGGTTCGGGCAGAGATCGTGAAGCTGTTGGATGCGGGGATCATCTTCGCCATTTCCGACAGCGAGTGGGTCAGTCCCACCCAGGTGGTACCCAAAAAGGGTGGGATGACTGTGGTGCCAAACGAGAAGAATGAGCTGATCCCGATGCGCACGGTGACTGGGTACCGTGTCTGCATTGATTACCGGCGTCTCAACGACGCTACTCGGAAGGACCACTTCCCGCTACCATTCATTGATCAGATGCTGGAGAGACTGGCGGGGCACGAGTTCTACTGTTTCCTGGATGGGATGTCCGGGTACTTCCAGATCCCGATTGCACCGGAGGACCAGGCGAAGACCGCTTTCACCTGCCCCTTCGGCACCTTTGCATACCGGAGGATCCCATTCGGGCTATGCAATGCCCCGGCGACTTTTCAGCGATGCATGCTCGCTATCTTTGACCGTCTGGTCGGCAAGATTATGGAGGTATTTATGGACGATTTCTCGGTTTATGGAGACTCATTCTCTCACTGTCTCCATAACCTGGAGCTTGTCCTTAGACGGTGTGAAGAAACGAACCTGGCACTGAGTTGGGAGAAGTGTCACTTCATGGTTCAAGAAGGCATAGTTCTTGGGCATAAGATCTCCAAGATGGGGATTGAGGTGGACAGAGCGAAGATCGAGACTATCAGCAAACTGCCTCCTCCTACATCTGTTAAGGGGATCAGGAGTTTTCTTGGTTATGCAAGTTTCTACAGGCGGTTCATCAAGGATTTCTCTAAGATTTCTCTGCCCCTGACGAAGCTTCTAGAGAAGGATGCCCCCTTCCAGTTCACTGATGCATGCACAGCGGCTTTCATGACCTTGAAGGAGAAGCTCACCCAAGCTCCTATCATGGTTGTTCCTGACTGGTCCTTACCATTTGAGATTATGTGCGATGCCAGTGACTTTGCTGTTGGAGCTGTGTTGGGGCAGAGGCGTGATCAGCATTTCCGACCCATCTACTACGCCTCGAAGACCTTGAATGATGCCCAGGAGAACTACACCAACACGGAGAAAGAGCTGCTCGCGGTGGTGTTCGCCTTCGATAAATTTCGCCCCTATCTGGTCTTGTCCCATGTGATTGTGTATACTGATCACTCCGCGATTCGATACTTGATGAGCAAGGCTGATGCAAAGCCTAGGCTCATACGATGGATCTTACTGCTGCAAGAGTTTGATATTGAGATTCGGGACAAGAAGGGAGCAGAGAATGTTGCTGCCGATCACCTCTCCCGGTTGGACGCACCCCCTGCGGACAACCTCGAGGAGGAGATCAATGACTCCTTTCCAGATGAGAGATTGATGATGATGTTCCTGGTGGAGAGTTTCACCCCCTGGTATTCTGATTTTGCAAATTATCTTGTGGGCCAGCAGCTGCCCAAGGGCATGACCACTCACGCCAAGAGGAAGTTCTTCTCCGACCAGAAGTACTACTTCTGGGATGACCCCCATCTCTTCAGGATCGGAGCTGACGGGATCATCCGTCGATGTGTTATGGAGAGTGAGATGGAGGGCATTCTATCTCACTGTCATGAAGGACCTGCTGGCGGTCACCACGGAGGAAACCGCACGGCGAGGAAGGTGCTCCAGTCGGGCTTCTACTGGCCCACGCTCTTCAAGGACGCAGACGCCTTCGCACGCCGGTGCGACCGATGCCAGAGGTCAGGTAACATCTCTGCCCGTGATGAGATGCCCCAGAATGTGTTTATTACTTGTGAGATTTTTGATGTCTGGGGTATCGACTTCATGGGCCCCTTCCCTCCATCCTTTGGCAATACATATATTCTTGTTGCTGTTGACTACGTCTCTAGGTGGGCTGAGGCGCAAGCTTTGCCCACTAATGATGCTAGACGTGTTTGTGTTTTTTTGAAGCAGCTATTCTCCCGGTTCGGGACACCTAGAGCCATCATAAGCGACCGAGGCACCCATTTCCAGGGTCAATTCGATAAATTGTTGTCTCGCTATGGTGTAACTCATAAGGTGTCCGTGGCCTATCATCCTCAAACCAGTGGCCAAGCCGAGCTGACGAACCGGGAGCTCAAAAGGATCTTGGAGAAGGCGGTGAACCTATCCCGCAAGGATTGGTCCACCAAGCTCGATGATGCTCTGTGGGCATATCGCACTGCCTACAAGACGCCCATTGGTACCTCACCGTACCGGCTTGTCTATGGAAAGGCATGCCATTTGCCCATGGAGCTAGAGCACAAGGCCTTATGGGCCCTTAAGCTGCTAAACTTGGATGTTAGTGTTGCAGGTGTTGAGCGAAAAATGCAGATGTTGGAGCTGTAAGAGTGGCGTTATCACGCCTATGAGAACACCAAGCTGTACAAGGAGAGCACGAAGCGCCTACACGATGCACGGTTGCGGGGTCCGAAAGAGTTCCAGGTTGGTGATCGAGTTCTCCTTTATAACTCTCGCCTGAAACTCTTTCCCGGAAAACTCCGTTCCCGGTGGTCTGGACCGTACACGGTCACGCAGGTGTTCCCGTATGGCACGATTGAGATTGCTAACCCGCAAACTGAGCCGTTTAAAGTGAATGGCCATTGTCTCAAGCTCTATCTGGGAGACGAGATCGAACGTGCGGAGTTAGTAGTGGAGCTCGCGGACCCTTAGTTCCGAAATTGGCGTCCAGCTAAAAGACGGTAAAGAAGCGCTGGTGGGGAGGCAACCCCACCACGGTTTGCATTTCTACCTTTGTTTTTATTTATTTATTTCAACTTGGTCGGTTTTTGAGTCTTTGAGTCAGTTGGGAGTCAGTCTGGAAAGTTTTTCGGGCCTCGGGCGGTTCGTTTTGATGTGTGATGGGTTAAACTTTAGAGCCGGGGCACGAATGAATCATGATGGTTTGCGATTGCAAATTAAAAAACTTGCATTTCAGGCTCGGCAATAAAAACACGGACAAGGGGGTTAAAACACGGCCGTGTTTCGCCCTCTGCCTGCCCGTGTAATGCCTTTTGCTCTCGGCATAAAAAACACGGGCAGCAGGGGCTAAAAACACGGCCGTGTTTTCATCTGAGCCCGGCCGTGTTTACAGAGCTGATTACAAGGGCGCGGAGCACCCGAAACACGGCCGTGTAATGGCCCGCCCGTGTTTCGGCCTCCCCCCTATAAAAATGAAATTTTTCACCCCCAAACCTCAGATCAGTCATTTTTTTTCAAAACCCCCAGCCCCTCCTCGCCGGAAAATCGGCCCTTTCCCCTTCTCCCTCGATTTTCCGGCCATATCTCCCTCTCCCGACCTCCAAATCACAAACCGCGAGCGCCCCCACGCTCCTGGCGTCAAGGAGCACATTCCCCAACGATTTGGGCTGGTTTGGCTGAGGTTATCTCGCCGGCGGTGAGTTTTCCGGTGAGTCTCCGGTGTGTTTTCCGGCGATTTTGGGTGCTTCTCTCCACTTTCTTCCTCTTTCTCGTGGTATCTTCTTGCGTCTCCAGGTGTGTTCTCTTTGTCTTTTCTTATATTTTTGGAGAATCGATACCTAGAGTTAGGAGAAGAACTTTTAATTGTGGAATGCATGGTTTGGGGAATATTTTGGGGTTTGGGGGATGATTGGGCTGATTGCATGTTGAATGGCCTGTGTGAATTGTGATTTTTCTGTGATGCCTCGATTGGTGCTATTTAGAGCAGTTGTGGTTGCTTGTTTAACCGGGGGCCTAGTCCACTGTCCAAATCGCTTGATTTGAGGGTCCCCGGTGTGTTCAGCTGGTATTTCTCGTATGATGGGTATGTTTGTGTCGCCGGGAGTCTAGCCCACTGTCCATATCTACCGATATGAGGACTCCCGGTGTGGTTTGGCCTAACATTGACCCCGTTTGCTTGTGTACCCTTTGTCCTTCATTGTGTTTTGCAGGATCATGGAGGATTATCTCGACCGGCTGAACATTATCCAGCGCCATAAGCTGCGGAACCTCCGCACCCGCAAAATCGCCAAGCACCATCACCTCGATTGGGAGGTGTTCGAGGAGCTTGGTGCCAGGCCACAGATGGAGGCTGCGGTCCGCTCCCCTGCTTGGCGGCGTCTGCTCTCCCTTGCTGAGCCGACCTACAAGGAGTTGGTCTTGGAGTTCTACGCCACCTTCACCCACACTCAGAAGGGGAACTCCGATCACGCTAATGCAGTCCAGTTCACTCTCGGTGGGGTGGAGCACTCCCTCAGCTACTGGGAGTTCGCCAATGCACTTCGCCTCAACTCCCGGGAAGCTGGTGGGCCGCCTCTACGCCTTGATCTCGCTGATCCCACGGACTTCCCTTCTCAGGCGTACTTTCAGAGCATCTGCCTGCCCGACAGTGTGGATGAACAGTACGTGGCCAGCCAGACGCGGGCTTCTCTCCTCCGTCCGGAGTGGCGGATCCTCAACCACCTGATGTGCACTTCCTACACACCCAGCGCAGGCTCGGCCAACCAGGTCACGCTCCGTACACTCTGGTTGATGCATGCGATGGGTCGTTCTGAGGACACCATCCAGCTGGGCTCTGTACTGGCGAGGACATTCACGAAACCAGCCATCAGCACGACTCGCGCCCTCGTTTGTGGGCCGGTGATCACCGCCCTGGCCCGCAACTACGGGGTGGATTTCACCGGGATGACTTTGGTGTGCGCGCCGTCTCCACTCAGAGAGGCTACTCTTCGCAACCAGCACCTGCTTGCTCGCCACGGGCGTCAGCGCTGGATCGAGGGCCTTCCTCAGCCACCTCCCCCTGCCGAGGGTGACCAGGCCGAGTCGAGCGCCGCTAGTGGGCGCCGAGGTCGCCGTCGCGTTCCCCGTCGTGGCCCAGCTCCCGCGAGCCCCTCTCCTGCCCCCCGGTCTCCGTCTCCAGGGTCGCCCCCTCCAGTGGTGGTGCCCATCTCCGACCAGTTGGCGGCGATCTCGCAGCAGAATGAGCGCCTCCTCGCCGGCCAGGAGCTCCTCCACACCCACCTTGATCGTGAGCGGGACCGCGGGCGTCGCATCCTGTCCGGACAGCACTACATCATGTCCTACTTGGGCTTGGACCCGAGCGCAGTCCACTACCCGTTCGTGCAGTCCCCGGGATTTGAGGATGAGTACCCTCCCCCTACTGGCGATGGTGGTGATGCATTCTAGAGCGGGTTTTGTGCTTTATCTGTTTTCCAGACTGAGACTCTGTGTTTTGTGGTTTCATTTTGTTTTGTTTTATCTCGGATTGTAGACTTGGTACTCTGACTCCTATCACCCAGTGTATGTTTTTGTGTCTCTAGCTCTGTGCCCCTTCTTTTGACTGGTCCGCCATCCAGTCAACGTTCCTGACCACTGTTTCACGGTAACATCGTTCCCCTTCCCTCTGCTCCATTGAGGACATTGTCGCGTTTAAGTGTGGGGGGGGGGGGGGTTCTTTGTATGAATTGGAACGTATATATGTGTGCTTGGAGCCTAGTCCACTGTCCAAATCTTGAGATTTGAGGGCTCCAAGCACGGCTGTTTGCTTGATGATTGATCGTATTGGCACTATGGATATGATTAGTGAATTGAATGGCTTTTGACTTGATACATGACAACTTGAGTGGGACTTAGACAACTTATTGTGATGACTGAGATGTGCAGTAGAATTGTGTAGGGGTTCAGTTTTCTCAACTGTTTGCTCACCAAATGTGACTTGGTTTGATCACTTGCTTTTGACAGTCAGTTATGCATCTAGTTCAGGGAATCAGAACGAGAGATAGAGCATATAGGTAGCCATGTGAGATTTGAGCCTGCTCGTTTCTTTCTTGTGCGATAGTTTCCTCTTCCATGATGTGCAGCATTCACGTTGTCATTAGCTAAGATGATGGAGGCATAGGATTAGCCCACGACCAAATTGACTGTCCTAGTGTGTCATACCCCCTAGTCAGCCCCTTTGAGCCGTGTGTTATCCTTTCTTTTGGTCTGAAATGAAAAAAAATCACCCTTTGCATCTTTTAGAAGGTTCCACAGAGTGGTTTTTACATATTCTCTGCTGTTTCTGCTAAACGTAATGTGAGGGTTGGAGGTAGTGCTTAAAAGTTGGGCAGGTGTTTGAAATTGTGCAGAGGTGGTGGTTCTCTTAAGAAATGGAAAATAATGAAAGAAAATAAATGAAAAAAAAATGAAAGCAAAAGAGAGCCACCACTAAAAATCTGAATAATGTCCATGTAGTAGTGTTTCTTAGCAGTCTGGCTTAGAAATACTAGCATTTATGTAACCTCCTTCGCTCTTGTGTTCTGAAGTTGAGAAATGCAGAGTAGCAGAAAGAAAGTTTCTGGTATGATTGATTGTGAGTCTGTTGGGTTTGGAAATGTGGAACCTTGTGCTGTATGAATACTTCCACCACCTAAAAGGCTTTTTCCCCATGTCCAAGACCCTAACCAGTCATCTGAACCTGTGTCTAAGACCTCCGGATTAGTTAGTGGTGACACCCCATTTGTGAACTCTAGCACTTAGAGGCTGCATTCATGATGAAGAGATGTTAGGGATTGAGAGATTGAGCATGCGCATTTTTCGCATCATATTGTCCTGACCCCACTGGTCGAGAGTGAGCGATTCATTTTCTCTTATTCTTTATACTCTTTGTCCCGGTGAGAACCTTGATTGCTCGGTCTTACTTCTGATACTTTGAAGTTTGTGCATGATGTGACTGTTTTGAACAAGTGGTTGAGTTAAGTCTATGTTGGTTGGTGAACAGAAGGGAAACTCTTCCTTTGCTCGATTTTACTGCATTCGAATGTCATCTGTGGTGGTTGTCTAGGTTGTCAGTGAGGTTGTCCATGTGTTAATGATCGAAAGCCAGTATGATCCACGTGTTTTGTGCCGATATGTCATGCCTTGTTGTTTTGAGCTTACCTTGTGTCTGACTTGGCTTGCTTGAGGACAAGCAAACGGTTAAGTGTGGGGGAATTTGATAACGATGTAAATGCACATGTTTGCGCCCCTAGTTCTTATCCGTTTGAGGAGTATAGTCGTGTGTTTTGGTCTATTTTAGGCCGAGTTGTGCTATTTTGTCATGTTTCAGGTCCCATGCGTTAAAGGGAAGGCTAACCGCGAGTTTCGGGGCATTCGGAAGTCATTTCGGTGAGCTGGAGCCAAAACACGGGCAGACCCGAGGCATTACACGGCCGTGTACTGCTGGCCGTGCTTTTTATGCCGAGAGCAAATTTGGTTTGGCCAATTCAGTTGCAAACACGGGCACCAAAACACGGCCGTGTTCCACCAAAGCACGGCCGTGTCCAACGCGAAGCACGGCCGTGTTTAACCCACTTGCTGGCCGTGTAATTAAGCCCTGGCCGAGACACGGGCGGAGTCAGGCAAAGCACGGCCGTGCCCTCGATCGTGCTTTGGACACTGATGCTTTTAAGCAGATTTTCAGCCACAATTCAAGAGGATTCGAGTTTTTGAGAGAGAGATCAGTTCCTAGAGAGAGAAAGTGACGAGCAAGAGTTCCCAAGTGCCCTAGATTGATCTTCAACACCATTGGAGGCCAGCTTGAGCTTGGAGAAGTGCCAATCAACGTCCAGAAGCAGGAATCCATCCTTCGCAGTATGAATTCCGTGTCTGATTCTGCTTTTGCTTTCTTCTCCATGCAGTAGTTCTCCCATTCATCTGGGTATGGAGAACCCTAGATTTGTATGTTAGGTTTGATTGTATGAACCCAAGTACTGATTCTATGATTGATTATATTCGATTGAGGTTTTAATGATTGAATGACTTGAATCCTGATCAAATTCCTGTTGTTTCTGCTTTGACCTAGAATGAGAATATCTGCCTAGGTTAATAGAGTATCCTTGATTGAAGGTAGGGAGTTGGTGACTTTAGTCGAGGAGCCAACTCACTATTCTGTACCGGATTTACTCCGGTAGTGGAGGTTTTGTTCTTAGGGCCTCAATCTGTCGACTCCGGTGGAGGTTAGTCGCCCGCTAGAGAGTCAGATTGAGAGGGTCTGAAGACCTTTAGTCGAGACTTCAGGCTGTTTAAGAACCTTCCGCAGTATAACTTTCATAGAAACTGAACTTGGTAATTACAATCCGGCTTAACTGCAGTCTAGGGGGAACCATATCCGGGTGACCTCTTTAACCTGAATACAACAGTTTACTTGCTTTGTCTGTTTGGTAGTTTAGATTTGCATTCCAGTTTCATTGCTAGATAACAAGAATTCACTGAGTAGTCATCACATCTAGGACCCGGGTTGATAATTAAACCTAAACCTGCTATACTACGCTTTTGGAAGTGGTTACACTTGGCCAATTCCTGGAGTGACAGTAGAGTCGAGTCAACCACCTTATCCTCATTTAACCTTCCAATGCGGCAAACGACTGAGAAGTAGATAGAACACTTGTAGGACTAGGTAATGGTGACCATCTTGGTTTAGCCCCATGTACAACTTTCTGAAACTCCAAGTCAGAAGGCAGCCTCGGTGACAAACCTTCAGAGACATGTTTGAATGATTCTTCAAGATTAACCCCCTGTATACAGTTCCTTGCACTCCCTGAAGGAACTTCAACCCTATTGGACCCAATCACCACCTCATTAACCAACAATTCACATTATCAGGAGCCTCCACTACAACATCTTTGCCTTTAGCAGTACTCTTCATTGGAGTGATTTCCTCTACCATATCAGAATCCACAACCTTCGGAACCCATACCTTTCCCTCCCTTATACAACCACAATCAAGCCCAAATGTCTTGCACATCTTACAAATTGGAGGCAAATGACTGTACATTACCCCCACCCTGATCGAGAAATCATCAGTAGGCCAAATCAGTATATGATCAGGAAAATCACCATCTGCGCGTAATTCGACCAGAATTTTTGCAAACCCCAATCGTCCTCCCACCCTAGTCGTTTGATCCACACCCAATGGAATACCTAGCCAACTCGCAGTCTTACTCAAACCACGATAGTTCACATACTCCAGGGGAAGATTCGAGAACCTAACCCAGATTGGCAGAGCTTTACGCCCCAGATCTTCAACATCAATTCCAGGTTTCCACGGGCGAAGATACAACAAATTGTCCATGTAGAACCATGGTCCGCTCTTCAGAATCCAATCACAAGTAGCCTGCGATGGGAGCTGGAAAGCAACAGCTTATCTCCAAGAAGAGACACACGCACTGGTCCATCCCTTCCCCACATCCGATTCGCCCACCGACGAAGCTCCGAAAGCACTGGAAAAGGATGAAGAAATTGCCCAACCAGACTGAATTTCCAACGAGCAGATCCTCCTCACTCACTTCCTTTGGCATCCGAAGACCCCCCTTATACACCTCTGGCTTCATATAGCTAAGTTGATTAGCCTCCGAGATACCAAATAGATCTGCCCAAGGTTTCAAAGGAACCCCCGAATCAGCTGATGAAGCAACCTCCCCAGTCATCGATGGAATCGCACTCATCGGAACCAAGAACAAACAGTCACAGAACTGATCAATGGAAGAAAAAGCACCGGCGCAGATGCCGGCGCGGCCCGCCTAGCCCGAGTCGGCAACCAGGACCTCCAGAAATTGAGAGAACTTTCTCACTCCACTTTCTCACTCGTTTTTGGTCAGCTCTCCGTGGTGAGGTATAAAATTTGATAATGTAATGGGGTGTATAACTTATTGTTGTATATTTTTTTTGGGAAACATGTGATAAAAATAGTGAATTTTAGTAGGAAAAAGACATGAATGATGCAACGAATCAAAAAGCAGCCTTATGAACCAAAATCAAGTACATGTTACCTTGTGAAACAATATTGTTTCTGGTAATATGATGAGGTGGAGTAAGTTTTATAGAGACCGAATTCCAGAAAATCGAATAAAAAATCGCCTATCTTGCCGGTTTTCGGGAAATGAGCATCTCACAATCGTTGCTAGATTTTACTCGGCCTGTTGACCGATTAATTTGCTTTATAAAACTTTCATCTTGTCATCATTGTGATTTCTGGTTTTTTGCCAAGCCATGATAAAATCTAAAGAAATCAAGAATGAACAACACGATTTGGGATAGGAACCACCATTCCTGTATCCCTAGAAATTGGTGGTATACACAGACTGACCTGCCAAACTGATTTGGATTGAGATTTTTATCGGGTATCAGGGAACCATGTGATTATAAATTAGACTTGATCAAAACGGGCCAAAACTTGAAATTCAGTCTGTTTGACAGACCCATGCAAAACTCTAATTATTCTTTACTTTTAAACTTTCTATTTGAAAATAAAAAATAATGAAAGAAAAGAGATGACTGCAATTTGCCATTTGCACATCATTGATTCGGGAATAAAACTATAGAATTTCTAAAGGAAACTGAAAATGGTTAGGATCGTTTTAATGTTAAAAATAACCAAATAGATCTTTCTGTTTAGTTTTTTACTAACAAATACCAAACGATTAACTATAATATATATTTGTAATATATATTTGTTAGTTTTTATTAACAAATACCAAACAATTAATTACATAATATATATTTGAAATGATAAAAATTGGACTAATTGGGTTGGTCGAGGTTGAACCATTGAATAACTTTAAAATACATTATATTTTAGCCACTAAGATATAAAATAATAGCATAATATATATTATGCTAGAGAAAATAGCTTGTTTTAGAATGGAAAACCCATGATGTTCATTTGTTTTACTTGATGGGCAAATCCCGTGTAGGTCAGACCCATTCAACTCTTTTATTTTATGATTAGCGGTTAGCCCATTAGAATCCATGCATTAGTTTTGTTTGAACCTAACTGAGTGTAGGAGTGAGATTCACGTAAAGGGGGTCGAGGAGAATGAGCAACAGGAATCAACCCAGAACTTCGGAAGGAAAGAAGGAAAGAAAGGAAGGATGGAATTGAGAGAGTGACTTTTAGAGAGAGAAGTGTGTTCTTTTCTTAGAGATAGAGTTTCCAAAAATCGATCCCCCCACCCACCGGAGTAAATGCCCTATTTATAGGCTACATGGTGGTGGGTGAGTTACATGGTGACATGACCACTGACATGTCAGAAGACTAGACCATACCTCTACCTAGGACAAGTACATTTAGCCTTTTATTATACCTAAAACTAGGACTATGATGTGACTAGTCGATGGGTGGAACGCGGCATCGTTTTCGCACACTCGCTAATTTGGTCAACGCTGGACTCGAACGTCGTCGTTTGGTGTTCGGGCTGTCTTCGGTCGTGTCGGTGCTGATGCGCCCGACTCTCTTGGTGTTGGCGCTCACCGGTGTGTTTACTCGCGTCGGTGTTGATGCGCATGACGCTCTTGGTGGTGGCGCTCGCTGGTGTGCCTTTCTGGTCGCGTCGGCGCTAACGCGCCCCACTCCTCTGACGTCAGTGTTTCTTTGGCGCGGCGGGATCCGAGTCACATGCCCAACAATTGCCCCCCATCAGGGGGTGTTCCGCGAACACCGCCTGTTTGACTTCCGCGCGATTGACTCGGGTCCGCGTGATCTTCTTGAGCGTTTTAGGATTGGCATCCTCTGATTTCCGCGCGATCTTCGTAAGTTTTTTTAGGGCTGACACCATTCGGTTTCTGCGCGATTGACTCGGGTCTGCTTGATCTTCAGGAGATTTTTTGGGCTGGTGGTTTTTATTATTGCGCGCGATTGCCTTGTCTGCGCGTGACGCTTTCTACTAAGCTTGGACTTTTGAGGGTGTTTTTTCTCTTCGTGGGTGTGCCGTGCCCCCCAGGCGATGCGCAGAGCTTGTGATGTCATCATCTAGTGCCTATGCCTATGTTAGGTGTCCACGTGTCGTTGTATGGGTGGTCCGTTGTGGCGGTTGTTTTGAAATTCAAAAAGGCTCTGACGGTTGCGTTTTTCGAAGCAAATTTAACTGTTCGACTTTCCTCTCTCAGGTATAAATAGTTAGCCATCGGGGGGTTGAAACCCATTCTGCCTCTTCGAACTCTGTTTCTTATTTTCTCTACATTGGGTGTGTTTGAGATTCTTCTCCTTCTTCTACAACCTCCTTTCTCTACTTGTTGTTGCCAAAACTCGAGAATCTGCCATGGCTAGCATCAACGTCGACGAGATCGAGGTCGTGCAAGGCGAAGAAGGTTATCTCTCCTCTCCTTCGCGTGTTTCTACTGATCCTTCGTTGGATCTGGATAATTCCGGCAACGGGGGCGGCGGCGGTGCTGGCGGCTATGAGGTTTCGGTGACGTCGTCTTACGACGTCGATTCGGAACTGGATTGTCGTGGCTCGTCCGATGTGGATGGGACGGTGTCTGGGAGTGGGCCGGCCGGAACCAGTGCTCGTGGTGTGCTAATAATCCGCCGCGACCGTGCTGGTGGCTCTGGGGGCGCGAATTGTGAGGGGCGAGAGGGGTCTGAAACGCAATCAGAGCCGCGCTGCATCGCGCGCGTATCCGAGGCGATAAGCCGCCTAGGGTTCCGCGGTGTGGGAGCGGCCTACTAGATAATTGATTGGGCGGAAATGTGGGGCGATGAGCCAGCACCGCGAGACAGTTGATAGACCGTTAGTTACACATGTTTTCACCCCTGTTCTTACACCGTTTGAGAGGTGGTTTCTCGTGTTTTAGACCGATTTCACGCTAGGTTGTGCTTGTTTGTGATATTTCAGGTCCTGGCAAGTGAATGAAGGTTTAGGAGCGAGTTCGGGGTCGATTGGGCGAAGATCGGGCGCGAGACAAGTCGCAAAGGAGGTCACACGGGCTACCCTGATGTTCACACGGCCGTGCGAGTGGCCAGTCTGGCCGTGTGACATTCTGCGAGAGCAGACACGGGCAGAGCAGCAGATTGCCACGGCCGTGCAAGTGGCCGGGTTGGCCGTGCCACATTCGCCGAGAGCATACACGGGCAGAAGGAAGTCACACACGGCCGTGCCACCCTGGCCGTGTAAGAAGCCTGGAATTCGACTAAGTGATACGGTGCGTTTTGCCTCACACGGGCAACTGGGTAGGCCACACGGCCGTGCCACCCTGCCCGTGTGAGTCGGGATTTCCTGGTTTTAAGCCAAATTCCGAACCAAAGAGGAGAGAGAGCTGGGTTTTGGATCCCAAACACCCAAGGGACGAACCCTAGAGAGAGAGAGAGAGCGCGACTTGGGAACATTCTTGGAGCTATTTTGGAGGAATTCTTCGCCATTGGAGCTCGGGAATCAAGCTTGGAGATGGAGATTGAAGATCTAGATCAGATTTCTGCAGTCTCTCTCTTCTCTATGGAGTAACTTCCCTTCACTTAGGTTTTGAGGAACCTTAGTTCCATGAGTTACGATCTTTCTTGTATGAAGTTTTGGATGCTATATTGTTTGATTATAATCGAATGATGCATGTTTATTGAGTCAATTGAAGTCTGATCAACTTTTCCTGATTCCTGCTGCAATCTGAGATAGATAGAATCTGATTAGGTTGCTAGAGTCTCATCATTCGGTAGTAGGAGATTGGCTATACGAGAGTTAGCCAGTTTATTGCTTTGTACTGGAATCCAATTCCAGTAGTGGAGTTCTGTGCTTATTGCTTCAGCTTTCTATCCCGGTGAAGACTAGTCGTCTGCCGAATAGTTAGACTGAGAGGGTTTGGTCAGCTTAAGAGATTCCAAACTACTGTCGGATCTTCCGCAGTTTAATCAACAATAAATCAACCAAAAGGAATTACAACTTGGACCTAATTGAGGAGCTAGGGGGAATCATACCTAAGTGAGTTCCCAAACTGTAATTAGTAGTTTTACTTAGTTGAGTTAGTAGAGTAGTTTAGTTAATCAACCCTTAATCTAGTTTGCTAGATAATGAACTGAAGCTGAGTAATAGTAACTCTAGAGACCCGTGGATTCGATATTTATTACTTGTGCCACTATACTGCAGTCCCTTTCATTGGTTACACTTGGCCATTGTTAGGTGTTGTGTTTTAGAGCATCAAGTTTTTGGCGCCGTTGCCGGGGACTTTCTAGAGTATTATGAAAGGCAGAAGTTTGTTACTTTAGCGTTTTTCTTTTCTTTTCCACCCTTGCTTTTCACTTGGGTGTTTTTGTTTTTGTTGGTGCAGATCTGAATCATGGATCCTAATGGCTTCTCCAATCATTGGGGGTATCCACCACCATCCGGGTGGTCTTACCCCGCGACTCCCTACAGCAATCAAGAGGAGAAGACTATGGATTCGGGTTCCAGTACCAACCCCCTTACTACGGAGAACAATCAGACCCCCGGGCATATCAAGAACAACCTCATTACCAAGAAGACTTTCTCCCACAACCAGAAGGGCCATCGGAGCTGGAGTTACCCATGGCGGCCTTCACGGGCCACTCTGCAGAGCCATGCTACACTTCACTGGAAGATCCGAACGAACAATTAAGGCTTCTCGTGGAGCAGTTTGCTCGAGACACTGAGAAATCATGCTCCAAGATGGATCTTCAAATCAAAGCCCTTGCCACTTCCGATCCCTCATTTCTCCATGATATGGAGGAGACTGTTCAGCGCTCAGCGAAGCAAACAGAGTGGGTGAAGCAAGTTTGCTCACATCTTGCTCAAGATCACCTTTCTGCTGCCACGCTAGAAGAGGTGGAGGATGACAAAGGCTATGGGAGCGTTGAGGAGCATACAGAAGTTATCACAGAGAACTCCCATGATAACCATGATCAAGAAAGTCCTTTGGTTGCAGACCACACCTTTCCTCATTTATGCTCTAACATGTTGGGCCCGTGCGAGGAGATGCAAGATGATCCCATTGAAGAAATTGCTTGGCGACTTGCTCTCCAATCTGTTCTAGAAGAAGAAGAGCGAGCAAGGATGAGGAAGAAAGTTGTGGATGATGAGGAAGAAAGAAAAGAAGAGGTGGTTCTTGATCTTTTCCCAGGGGAGAGACCACATTTTGAAGAAGGAAGGGGGGTTGAGGAAGCAATTGGCGTCCAGGCTGAGGATGAAGTTGAGGTGGAAGAGGCATGCACCGGCCATGAGTTGCAAGTAATATCCCCACCAAACTTTGAGGAACTGCTTGGCAAGGACCCATTTGCAGTGTCTCTTTGCCAGACCAAGGCCACATCGACATCGGTCCCTCTTGGTGGACGCGATGGTGGCCAATCGATGCTGTCATATCTGGTTTGGGGCAATGAGACGAGAGAAGAGAAGAAGAGGTCTCGAGGGTGGAGACTTCATCTGCATCAAGTACATGAGCCTTCATCACCTGCCACACCACATGCTCGTGACTTGAGACTCCACCTCATCGACGAGAACCTCAACTTCAAGGAGGTTCTAGCATGGACCGAAACTTAGGAGCCATCGTCCGGCTCACGACGTGAAAGAAGCGCTTGTTGGGAGGCAACCCAACCAGTCGGTTTGCATTTCTTTCTCTATTTCTCCTCGGTTGAGTCAGTTTTGTTATTTGATTTTAGAGTCAATAACTCAACCTTTGTGAGATTTTGTGTGGTGTTTGTGTTCTGATTACTCTCTCTTCCTGGACTGCACTGCCTGACCCGTACATCATCATTCACCCTTGATCTGGTAACTTCGTTCAACCCTCCTTATCTTTCCTCCATTGAGGACAATGTCGTGCTTAAGTGTGGGGGGGTGTTCGATTATGTATGCGGGTGAATGTTTGGCTGTTTGTGTGCTTGGAGCCTAGTCCACTGTCCAAATTTTTAAATTTGAGGGCTCCAAGTACGTGTTTCCTTGCAATTGCCTGCTCAGTATGCTTTGAATTGACAGTCTTTATAGTAATATGCAACCTAGGGAGGTAGTGTAGCACTATGGAGGATGTTGATGCATTTAAGAAGTCTCGTTTCTTCTTCATATTGTGTTGGTTGATTGAGTGAATTAGTGATCTTAGGACCCTTGAATTGTGTGGTGTTGTGGATTCTCTGCCTGTCATGGACTCTTGTATCATGTTTTGAGTTTAACAGGTGCTCGAAAATGTGCTTCAAATAACGTCTCCCGTGCGAATAGGGCGAAAGTGTGTAAGGGGAGACGGGAATTCGTTCCCAATTTCCACCTACTACCTCCAGCCCCCTTACATGTCTTTCCCCCGCACGAGGCTCGAGACATCCGCTCCTGGCATGGCCGGTAAGAGCAGGTTGGGACCCTTGAAAAGAAAAGAAAAGAAAAATAACAGAAAACAAGCAAAATAGAAAAAAAGGGGGTTCCAACCATCTTCAAGAATAAAATAGAGCACCTTGAAAAATGTGAGTCCATGATCTTTTGTTTTTGAGAATCTCTTCATCCACAATTCATTTGTCCTCTGTTCACTATTTGCCGTGATGCCGACTCGCCGAAGAAGTTATGAGATGACTTGTGCGTCGGTTGACCTCGTAAGTTGCTAAATGATCTAGGAAGTCCTCTACCTACGATCTGGGTTGTTTGTTGCTATAGAGGTCTGGAGAGTTGCATTGGTTTGAGTTAGGTTTGCTTGGGGACAAGCAAATGGTTAAGTGTGGGGGAGTTTGATAGACCGTTAGTTACACATGTTTTCACCCCTGTTCTTACACCGTTTGAGAGGTGGTTTCTCGTGTTTTAGACCGATTTCACGCTAGGTTGTGCTTGTTTGTGATATTTCAGGTCCTGGCAAGTGAATGAAGGTTTAGGAGCGAGTTCGAGGTCGATTGGGCGAAGATCGGGCGCGAGACAAGTCGCAAAGGAGGTCACACGGGCTACCCTGATGTTCACACGGCTGTGCGAGAGACCAGTCTGGCCGTGTGACATTCTGCGAGAGCAGACACGGGCAGAGCAGCAGATTGCCACGGCCGTGCAAGTGGCCGGGTTGGCCGTGCCACATTCGCCGAGAGCAGACACGGGCAGAAGGAAGTCACACACGGCCGTGCCACCCTGGCCGTGTAAGAAGCCTGTAATTCGACTAAGTGATACGGTGCGTTTTGCCTCACACGGGCAACTGGGTAGGCCACACGGCCGTGCCACCCTGCCCGTGTGAGTCGGGATTTCCTGGTTTTAAGCCAAATTCCGAACCAAAGAGGAGAGAGAGCTGGGTTTTGGATCCCAAACACCCAAGGGACGAACCCTAGAGAGAGAGAGAGAGCGCGACTTGGGAACATTCTTGGAGCTATTTTGGAGGAATTCTTCGCCATTGGAGCTCGGGAATCAAGCTTGGAGATGGAGATTGAAGATCTAGATCAGATTTCTGCAGTCTCTCTCTTCTCTATGGAGTAACTTCCCTTCACTTAGGTTTTGAGGAACCTTAGTTCCATGAGTTAGGATCTTTCTTGTATGAAGTTTTGGATGCTATATTGTTTGATTATAATCGAATGATGCATGTTTATTGAGTCAATTGAAGTCTGATCAACTTTTCCTGATTCCTGCTGCAATCTGAGATAGATAGAATCTGATTAGGTTGCTAGAGTCTCATCATTCGGTAGTAGGAGATTGGCTATACGAGAGTTAGCCAGTTTATTGCTTTGTACTGGAATCCAATTCCAGTAGTGGAGTTCTGTGCTTATTGCTTCAGCTTTCTATCCCGGTGAAGACTAGTCGTCTGCCGAATAGTTAGACTGAGAGGGTTTGGTCAGCTTAAGAGATTCCAAACTACTGTCGGATCTTCCGCAGTTTAATCAACAGTAAATCAACCAAAAGGAATTACAACTTGGATCTAATTGAGGAGCTAGGGGGAATCATACCTAAGTGAGTTCCCAAACTGTAATTAGTAGTTTTACTTAGTTGAGTTAGTAGAGTAGTTTAGTTAATCAACCCTTAATCTAGTTTGCTAGATAATGAACTGAAGCTGAGTAATAGTAACTCTAGAGACCCGTGGATTCGATATTTATTACTTGTGCCACTATACTGCAGTCCCTTTCATTGGTTACACTTGGCCATTGTTAGGTGTTGTGTTTTAGAGCATCAACAGTCTTCTACGGGGGCCCGATAACGCGTCAATCTACGGGCAGAGGGAAGTGACTGAGATTGTGCGTGGGTTGGGTTTGCCTCCCAGTTGGGAGTACGCGTTTCCTTCTGCGGGGAGTACTGTTGGTAATTGCCCCCCATGATGGATCGGGGTGTATACCGAGTACTGGGTGATGGGGTTTAAGTTCCCCATTGACCCGCTGTTATGTGCGCTATACAGGCGGCTCAACTGCTCGTTTGGGCGCCTGTCTCCATCAATCATCATGCACGCAAGCTGTCTCCGCCTTACGTGTAAGAGGCTCAACATTCCTCCATCTTACGGGCTATTCCGTAAGATGTATAAGATCAAGGATCCCACGAAGAAGAGTGACTGCCTCTCAATCAGGCGGTGCGACAAGAGGCCTGACGGCTTCGTGTACGGGTCGCCCAAGTTAAAGAAAACATGGTTTGAGCGCTTCTTCTACGTTAAGCCGACTCCGGGGGAGTGGGCGAGTGAACATGTGGAGGAGCCCACAGTTTGGAAGAAGGGCAGCACGCATGGCTACGAGTCGGACCTAGGAAAATACGACAGGCTCGACGATGAATACGAGGCGTGCATGCTGCAGAAGTTTAATCTTTATGTGGGCGGGGTCCGCGAAGCTTGTTTGGCGGAGCTTTTTGCTGATGGTTAGTTGTGTTCCTTTCTTTATGCATTCTGTCATATTAACCGCTCTCTTACGATTTATTGGCACAGGTGTTGACTTCTCCAGTCTGGTCATCATGATGTCGGTTGACGACGTGGTCGTGAAGGCTCCGCGGGCTCGCGTAGAGAAAAGAGGAAGAAGAAGGAGACCGCGCCATCTGAGCGCGTGAAGAGGAAGGAGGTTGAGCAGCCATCAGTGGCGGAGAAGCCCCGCAAGGCAGCTCAGGTTGACGCTCAACCTGAGCGGGTGGTTGAGCAGGCGGCTCAACCTGAGCAGGTGGCTGAGCAGGCGGCACAATAGTTGCCGCTCGTGATTTTGATGGAGACGCGTCCGGTGCGCGAGTTGATGCGCCTCCGCGTCCAGAGAAATCAGCAGTTGGAAGCTCGTCTGGTGCGACGCTTCAACAGAAGCTGCCCGAGATGGCTTCTGCCATCAATTATTTTCGTGACGTGCGGATACACACCGGCGCGGCGTGCAACAACGTAGCAGCAAATACCGCGCTCCGCGCGTTGGGACCTCATCTGAGTGTCCCTACGTGGCTGGAGAAATCTGACCCGCTGCAAGACCTGGCTCAAATTCACTTTGCGGTAAGGTTATTTTTGATTGTTCACATTGTGCGTCTATCTGCTTCTTCATAATGTGAAATCTTTGCTAATCTTTGCTAAGTCTCGGGGCGCTTGTGAATGTAGGGTTTGCTGGCGACCTTCCGGGCCGAAAAAGAACGGGTTTCGCACCACGCGAAGCTGCAGGCGGAGCAATCGAAGATTGTCCAGTTGGAGGGCAAGCTCGCGGATGCTCAGAATCGCGCCGAGGTGGCAACAACCAAGGCCAACGAGGCCATGGAGGAGATCGGCGTTCTGCAGAGTAAGCTGGCGTCGGACGTGGAGGCGGCTAAGGAGCGCGTCCGGGCGGAGTTGGAAGCGGATCATGCTGAGAAGCTTAAGCAAGCCCGCGAAGAGTTTCAGAAGGAGAAGGAGGACCTGGTCCGCCTTCACAATGTTGCGAAGGCAGAGGTTGTGCGCGCAGCCAAGGTCGCTGCTGTCCGCCAGTATAAATCGTCTCCCTCTTTCGGGAAGATCTTGGCGGACGCGATGACTAAGGCGGTGATCGCGGTGCACAAGAAGGTGCGACCAGAGAATCCAGGAGTCCGCTGGAACACTCGCGCCATGGTGCGCCACGTCCAGATGTGGCTAGGAGATAAGAGGTCCCTCGAGTCTGATTCGGAGCCGAAGGACGAGGAAGAGGAAGCGCGCTCGGACTCGGGGGACGATGACGATGAGGATCAAGGAGTGGATGAGGGGAAGGATGACCAGGCCGACGCGGCGCAAGCTAACGCGGGGGATGCTTCGACCAATCAACAAGTGTAGTCGGGCTGTTTTGACATTTTTCTTTTTTGTGCAAGTGTAGTTCTTCCCTTCCTTTCTATTATGTATTTGTTAATACTTTCTCCCGCGGGTGCAATCCAAAAACATTTCGATCCAACAGATCTTTTAATCGTCCGAGCGTATCTTCACTTTTCGTAGTAAGCGCGAATAATTTATGACTATTGCTCTTTTTTGTTTCTTTCGAACCGTGTTGGCGCGAATAACTCTTGGTTATTGCTATTTTTTGTTCTTTTGAACTGTACTGGCGCGAATAACTCTTGGTTATTGCTATTTTTTGTTCTTTCGAACTGTGTTGGCGCGAATAACTCTTGGTTATTGCTATTTTTTGTTCTTTTGAACTGTGTTGGCGCGAATAACTCTTGGTTATTGCTATTTTTTGTACTTTCGAACTGTGTTGGCGCGAATAACTCTTGGTTATTGCTATTTTTTGTTCTTTCGAACTTTGAAGGCGCGAATAACTCTTGGTTATTGCTATCTTTTGTTCTTTCGAACTGTGTTGGCGCGAATAACTCTTGGTTGTTGCTATTTTTTGTTCTTTCGAACTGTGTTTGGCGCTAATAACTCTTGGTTGTTGCTATTTTTTGTTCTTTCGAACTGTGTTGGCGCGAATAACTCTTGGTTATTGCTATTTTTTGTTCTTTCGAACTTTGAAGGCGCAAACAATTCAGGTTTAGCTGTCTTGGCGCGAATAAGTCAATATTATTGTTACTTTCTTTCGCCCATGCGCGAATAGTACATCAATTTGGGCAATAATATTTCCTGAGATTCTGCGCATTCCATGTTCGTGGAATTTTGACGCCGCCCAATTCGCTAAGCTTGAAGGTGTTGGCGCCGACAACCTCTCGGATTAGGTACCGGCCTTCCCATGTTGAAGCGAGCTTGCCATGTTTGGGGTCGGGGCGGAAGTTCCTGCGCAACACTTGATCTCCGAGTATCAGTTTGTGCGGGACTAGCTTCGCATTGTAGTACTTGGCTACTTGCTCTTTCGTCGCGGCTAGCTTGATGGCCGCCAATTCCCGCCGCTCTTGTGCTAGCTCCAGGTCTAGCAGGCGTACTTCATCGTTATCCGCCTCATCATATGCCGTGACCGGATAAGTTGGGGACGTTATCTCAATGGGTATCACCGCGTCAGTGTCGTAGGTGAGCGCGAACGGGGCTTCGCCAGTTGCCACTTCGAAAGTGGTGCGGTGCGCCCATAACACCGTGTTGAGCTCGTTTGTCCAATTGCCTTTGGCTTTGCCTAGTCTCGTGTGGACGCCGTGCAGGATTGCTTTGTTGGCCGCCTCCGCTTGGCCATTGGCTTGGGGGTAGGCTACCGATGCGAACCTCGCAATGGCCCCCACTTGGTCTCAAAAGTCGATCACTTCCGCGCAGTCGAATTGTTTTCCGTGGTCGAATATGAATGCGTTTGGGACCCCAAAGCAGGCAAGGATGTTGCTTCTTAAGAAGCGTGTTACCTGATGCGCCGTTATCGAGGCCAATGCTTCTGCCTCGATCCACTTGGTAATGTAATCGACCGCCACAATTATGTACTTGCGCTTTCCCTTGGTCGTTGGGAAGGGACCCAGAAGGTCCACTCCCCATTGCGATAAAGGCCATGCGCTTAAATTGCCTTGGAACTCAGTGGACGGGAGGTGGTGTTGGCGCACGTGTAAATGACACTTGTGACATTGGTCGACATACTTCTTTGTGTCTTTTTTTACTCGCGGCCAATAGTATCCGTGCAATAGTATCGTGCGCTCCATACTGCGCGCACCGGCGTGCATCCCGCAAAGTCCTTCGTGCAGGTCGTGAACCATGGAGTGTGCCTCTTCTTCACCGATGCATTTTAGGTATGCTCCCGAGTATGACCGTCGGTACAATTCCGCTCCAATTAGGGTGCATCGAGCCGCCTTTTGTCTTAACGTCCATGCCTCCTTGGCATCCTCTAGCACCGCGCCGTCTTGCAAGTACCTTATGATCGGTGTTCGCCAGTCATCGTCCTGTGCTGTTTGAGTGGTGTTGACCACAGCCCTTGGCGGGTTTCTTCTTCCTCTTTCTGCACCGACACCAGGCGCGTTGACTCAAAGTCGGTGGCCGTGGCTAACTTTGATAGCGCATCGGCGTGCATATTTTCTTCCCTAGGTATTTGCACGTATGTCACCGCCTCGAAGGCATTTGCCCGTTGTTTGACACGCTCCATGTAATGTGCGAGCGCGTCTTCTTTGGCGTCGAAGGCTCCATTCAGTTGGTTAACTGCTAGTGATGAATCGGAGAGCACCATGATTGTTCTAGGGCCCAAGTCGTTGGCGGCTGTCATTCCTGCTAGGATGGCTTCGTACTCGGCTGCGTTATTCGTCTTCAGAGCTCCGAACCAGATTGCTATTTCGTGCACAACACCCGTGGGGGTGCGTACGACGACTCCCTTGCCGGCACCATGTTTGCTTGTCGCGCCATCCACGTAAACCTCCCACACTCCTTCTGGTGTTGTTTCGAGGGTCACCCCTTCTGCGATAAAATCCGCCAGGATCTGCGCCTTTATCGCAGGTCTCGGAGCGTACCGGATGTCATACTCTGATAGCTCGACCGCCCATTTGACCATCCGCCCAGATACTTCTATTGAAGTTAGGATCTTTTTTAGCGGGAGGTTGGTCAGGACTGTGATTTGGTGCGCTTGGAAGTATGGGCTTAACTTCTACGCCACGCTCAGTAGCGCCAAGGCGGCTTTTTCTATTGGGGAGTATCTTGTTTCCGCGCTAACCAGGGTCCGCAATGTGTAGTACACTGGGCGCTCGTTTTGGCCGTCCCTTTTGGATATTAGTATTGCGCTCACGGCTCTTGTCGACACGGCAAGATACAGAAAAAGCTTTTCATTAAGTTTGGGGGCGGTCAATACAGGGGGGAGACAAGATAAGCCTTGAGCTCCTGGAACGCTGCTTCACATTCCCAGGTCCAAGTGAATCGCGCGCCGTTTTTTAGCGTCTTGAAGAATGGGGCGCACTTGTCGGCTGATCTCGGTATGAACCTCCCTAGTGCCGCTATCTTGCCGTTCAGGGACTGGATCTCCAATGTGTTCCTCGGCGCGTGCAACTGTTGGACTGCAGTGATTTGCTTTGGGTCAACCTCGATGCCACGCTTGGTGATCATGAATCCCAAGAATTTTTCGGCTTCTGCTCCGAACACGCATTTCACTGGGTTGAGGCGGAGACAGTGTTTGTGGAGTGCCTCAATTGTTTCGCGCAAGTCTTCCAGGTGTGACTTGCCCGCCTTAGTCTTGACGATGAGGTCATCCACGTAAGCCTCGATGTTCCGCCCTATCTACTGTGAAAACACCGCGTCGATCATTCTTTGGTAGGTCGCACCAGCATTCTTCAACCCGAATGGCATCCCCACGAAACAAAAGTTTTCGAATGGCGTCATGAAGGCCGTTTTTTCTTCATCTTCGCGAGACATCGGGATCTGGTGGTACCCTGAGAACATGTCCAGGAAAGACAGCGTCTCATGGTCGGCGGTGGCATCGATCAGTTGGTCGATGCGCGGGAGTGGGTAAGGGTATCCCGGACACACCTTGTTGATCTCTTGTATAGTCGATGCACATCCGCCAGGCCTTGGTTATTTTACTGGACGAATCAGTCCCGCCGCTACTAGCCGTGCAACCTCCTCTTCAATGGCCTTCAGTTTGTCGCCTGTGAAGCTTCGTCGCGCTTGTTGCCTTGGTTCCGTGTTGACTGGAACCGCGAGGCAATGCTGGGCGACTTCCCTCGGGACTCCCGTCATGTCTTCTGTGCAACAGGCGAATAGTTCCTTGTATTCCTTCAGCAGCGCTATCAACGGCTCAATCGCGTCACCGCTGACGTGAGTCGAAATGCGTATCTTCCGCGTCGGCTCGGCTGGATCGAGCGCGACTTCAAAATCGGAGTCCATCGACTCCGGACGGGGCTCCTCTGCCCTTGTGTCAACAATGTTGGTCTGGCGGGACTCTCCTAGTTTTGGGGCCTCCCATGGCGTCCCGCGCGCTTCGCCGGTCCCTGCCTTGGTGGGGAATTTAAGCTTTTGGTGGCACGTCGACGGGAGAGCCATGAATTTGGCTAGGAAGGGCCTGCCAAAAATGCCATTATGGGACGAGTTGCAGTCGACTATTGTGAATTCGACTTGTTTCGAGACACGCGGCTCTTGGTCTCCAAGGACAACCGGGAGGATGACTACGCCTATGACTGGAACTCTCGTTCCGAAGAAGCCGACCAAGTTCCCCTGGGCGCGCTTGATTAGTCGCGGGTCGATGTCCATTTGATCTACAGTGCTTTTGAAAAGGATATCTGCCGCGCTGCCTTCGTCTATCAGTAGGCGGTGGATTTTGCAGGCGGCGACAAGCGCGGTGATGGTAAGAGAGTCTTCTGATGGGACCCCCTGGGGGAACTCCGCGTCATCGAAGCTCAGGTTGCACTTTGTCGGTACCTCGGCCGCCGCGCACTCTATAGCGTGCTCGCGTTTGGTTTTCTTCTTGGGGCGCTCTCCTTCTACTATTACCACCCCGATTTCTTTACGCACCACATACGAGCCTGTAGCGTCGTTATAGTCCGCTTGTAGGGGTGGTGGGGGTTGTATCGGCTGTTCCATCTGTTCTTCCGCTCCGCGGATGAACTCGGTTAATAGTCCCCTTCGTATGAGGCCCTCGATCTCGTAGCACAACTCTCTACAATCCTCTGTCCAATGGCCTGTTTCTCTGTGGAATTCGCAGCGCTTCTTTGGATCGCGCATATGTGGTAAGGACCTCAAAGGTGCGGGCCAGTTGATTCTGTAACCCTTCTCGCGCAGAACGTGAAACACGTTCTTCACGGAGTCATTGAGGGGTGTGTAGTTGTTTGACGTGCGTCTATCCGGTGATCTCCCTCACTGAACTTGCTCTGGCGCGGGGGGTGGGCGTCTAGGCTCGCTGTGCAATTGCATCAACTGGTCCCGCGGCACTGGTAGTTGTTTTTGCGCTTGTTCTTCTTTGGGCGCCTTTGATGGTTCAAAGTGCCTGACAGAGCCCGCGCCGAGTGTCTCTTCTAGTGTGATGGCTTTCTCGATCTTGACCTCCAACTCTGTCGATAGCGTGACAGGTCTTTTTGCTAGCGCTCGCTTGAGCTCCATGTTGGTGGTTGCGTCCATGAGGTGATGGGCGGGCAGTTTCTGGGGTGAGGTCCCTCACGACCATCGCCACCCTGGACCACCTAGCGTAGAATGCTCGCAGGCTTTCTCCGTCCTTTTGCCTGATATCTATCAGCGCCTTGAGGTGAAGAGGCCTTCTTTTTTGGGACGCGAACTTTGTTGTGAACAGGAGTATGAATTCCTCGAACGAACGGATGATTCCATTTGGGAGGTGGTTGTACCAATTGAGGCATATTCCGGAGAATGTTGATGGGAAGGTTCTGCATAGCGTCGCGTTAGAGTTGGTCTAGAGTTGCATCCGCAGGCAGAAGGTGCTGACGTGATCCTCTGGATCATTCGTCCCGTTGTAAGTTGGGAGGGTGGGTGGCATTCCGCTTAGGTGCTTCGTCATAATTTCCGCGCTTAACAGTTGATGTAGGATTTTCCTGTGTGGGTTAGGACGGAATTGTAGGGACAGATGCTGCTCCAAGAAGCTGAGGTCCGCCCTTCTTGGTGGTTCGAATCATTGCGCTTCAGTCGCAGACTACTCGCCCGCCGCCTGTTGTGGTGGCGGGGCTGCGCCTGACACCTCTCCTTGTGTTTGCTGCAGCACGACAGGCGCCGCTTCCGGTGCTGTCGCGGCTTCTCTGCTCATCATGAGCGTGAGTACTTGGCTCATCTGTTTTTGCATGTCGGCTATGACACTGTTTTGCTTTGCCATTAGCTGTTTTATTTCCTTGGCTGCCAGCTCGGGCTCTTCTTCCTCAACGAGCACCGCGTCAAGGTTGCTTCCTTCGGCGAATGCCCTTGGGGTTGTCATAGCCTTGATGGGTGTTGTCTCGTCGGGAAAGTTGGAGTTGGGCTCTACCATTGGTTGGATTTCTGCTACTTTTTTTACTCAGCCCCACGGTGGGCGCCAATTGTTTGAACCTAACTGAATGTAGGAGTGAGATTCACGTAAAGGAGGTCGAGGAGAATGAGCAACAGGAATCAGCCCAGAACTTCAGAAGGAAAGAAGGAAAGAAAGGAAGGATGGAGTTGAGAGAGTGACTTTTAGAGAGAGAAGTGTGTTCTTTTCTTAGAGATAGAGTTTCCAAAAATCGATCCCCCCACCCACCGGAGTAAATGCTCTATTTATAGGCTACATGGTGGTGGGTGAGTTACATGGTGACATGACCACTGACATGTCAGAAGACTAGACCATACCTCTACCTAGGACAAGTACATTTAGCCTTTTATTATACCTAGGACTAGGACTATGATGTGACTACTAGATGGGTGGAACGCGGCGTCATTTTCCCACACTCGCTAATTTGGTCAACGTTGGACTCGAACGTCGTCGTTTGGTGTTCGGGCTGTCTTCGGTCACGTCGGTGCTGATGCGCCCGACTCTCTTGGTGTTGGCGCTCGCCGGTGTGCTTGCTCGCGTCGCTGTTGATGCGCATGACGCTCTTGGTGGTGGCGCTCGCCGGTGTGCCTTTCTGGTCGCGTCGGCGCTAACGCGCCCCACTCCTCTGACGTCAGTGTTTCTTTGGCGCGGCGGGATCCGAGTCACATGCCCAACAAGTTTATTGTTAATTTTTTTTCTTTTTAGCAATAAAAAGGAGTATTGTTTTTGCCTTTTCATATATATTTTACCACCATGGAGAAATAAAAGGACTTAAAGAAAAAAATTGACACTCCTGGACCCGTTTAAATCCGCATGTGTACGGTAAGTTGGCCCGTTCCACAGAGGAAAAAGAAATAAAAAATTGACACTCCCTATTCTACCCTTCCTACAAAAGCTCATGGAGCAGGGAATTTGAAATGGGGGAACGGTTTTTTCCTCTCTATGATTATATATTTTTAATTTAACAAGATACAACAAATGTACTTAGTGTGATTGGTTATGATCTTTGCTTTTCTTTAAAGTGGTTATGGTTCGAATCCTAGTAAGTGTCTTTTTATTGAATAAAAAAAAAGTAATTGTGAAGACCAAAATGTCCTTCCTACTTTCACTCTGGATGCAGGAAATTTGAAATGGGGCTTCAAGTTTTCTCATTTGGCTTTTATTTATTGTGTAGATAGATGTAGATTTTGCCTAAAACTTAAAAGTTACGTTTTTACGTTTTTATATCACCAAAATACTTACAGCATGTTTGGATTGACAAAAAAGTAAGGAATTGGAATTCAAATTCCATTTTCATATTTTATGTTTGGAATAATAAAAAGGTTGAGAATTGAATTCCATTAGATCTAAAATTTGGGAATTACAATTCCTATAAAAATGATAGGAATTGAGAGAATGAAGATGGAATTAGTGGGATCCATCAATACTTTTTTATTATTTTATTGACCCACTGCCACTATCATTTTACTCTCTTTCTTTCTCATTCATATTTCATTACCCAAAATAAAACAAACATATTACATTATTTATTATGCTTAAAAGTGCAATTCATTTCCATAGATGTAGGAATTATACCAAACACTAGAATTGGAAATGGAATTCTATAAAAATAAAAAATGAAATTTTATTTCCATTTCCATTTCTTTTGAAATTGTATCCAAACAAGCTGTTATACATAGAATTGAGATTTTCTACCACATAAATGATTTATATAAATAAATATCAACTTACTAAGTGGTAAGCTGTAATTATTTTCCAATGAACGATGATGATGAAAATAGAGTTATTGTGATACATCAAACAATATTCACAAGTGTTTAATTATAAGAAGAAGAAGAAGAAAAAATATTTAGAACGCTAAGGATTTCAAAACACATGATCTAATCTAACTAAAAATTTACATACATATAATATTTACTAGGAAAAATGATCATATTCCAAATGTTATGAAGTATTAATCTAATCATCGATATAAAATTAAAAAAGTTATAAAAACAAAGCAATAAAACCTAATTGTCCACATGACAGGGTCTAAGCTAGTACAATTTATGTGAATTTGTCACAGCGCGGCGCGCAATCAATGTAATTAACCACAGTTGATTTGATTCCCTCTCTGACATGAATTAAGGAAAGAATTGGTGTGAGTGTCAAACCACTCATTGAGCTTGTTGCGCATTTTCCCACCAACAATAATCTTGAGCTTGTTGCGCATTGTGATGCGGATTGGTGTGACTGTCAAACCACTCATCTGTCAACCAGTGGTTTTTTTCATTTCGCTTGGCAGTGCTCTTATCTCTTGGTGCACCAAACGACATAGAATGGTTGTGCGTTCGTCTGCTAAATCCGAATATATTGTGTTAATGGCTAGCAATGTCAATAAGCTTATATGGTTGCGTTGGTTACTTCAGGAACTTGGAGTACCTCTGTCTAGATCCACTCCCCTCTACTGCGATAATCAGGCGGCTCTCCATGTTGCAGCTGATCTCGTTTTCCACGAGCGTACCAAGAATATGAAAATAGATCGCTATTTTGTGCGTGAACATTTTGCCTCAGGTGCCATTCTTCCACTTAAGGTAATTTCTTATCAACAGGTTGTTGATCTCTTTATAAAGGGGTTGGGTGCAGATCGTTTTCGATTTATACTCTTCAAGTTGAACGTTCGATACATCCACCGTCCAACTTGAGGGAGCTTTTGGACTGAGAGAGGATTCAACCCATCCCACGAGAGCCTAAGGCAGCATCCAAGCTGGAGAAGCCTGTTGGTGAAGATTGGCCACAGTCCCACGAGGCCATGTGTCTCGAGTCAACAACTACAAGTAGTTTAGGGTTTGCTAGTAAAGCCCTACATAGCATGATGTTATATAATGATGTAGGCCATTCGGCCATTATAAGTTGTTCATAAGAAATAAAGCTACAGGTGGAGAGGTTTCCCTTCTCCCGTGGATTAGTCCTGGTCGATTCATCAATCAGGGATACCACGTTAACTAGTGTGTTGTTTCTTTTAGTTTATACATATTTCTCAATTTCAAATACATACACTCACATTTGATATTTTCCAAATAATAAATATTTAAAAAGCACACATTACTTTACTAATATACACATAATGGAACAAAATGTCATGCCAACACTACGAGATCGCCCCAAGGTTTGATTGAGGGGTCGTGATACGACGATAGAACGGGGTTAGCACTTCTTTTATTTATTTATTTATTTTTATTTTTTTGCATACAAGGAGGCCGCAACCAATAAAAAGAGTTACATCATCAGAGGAGAGGTGGAGAAGTAGAGGGAAGGGTGGGGATTCTACGTTCGAATGTGATCCCCGCAAGTCATCCCGAAGAAGACCAGCTATGCCTTGTGGTGGATATGCAAGTTCATACATACCGTAGGGATAGACGAGACTGTGCTTCGAGAGTCAATCCACGACTCTATTCCCTTTCCAATATGTATGAGCAATGCTAACCAACCAATCTTGTCTTAGTTTTCTCCGAATAGCTGCAAGAAGGGTCGCAGAAGGATGCACCTGATCATGTCTATCACTGATGAGCTGAATGGCCAATTAAGAATCAAATTCGATCTTTAGAACACGACATCCAACCTACCAAGCCATATCAATATAGTGAACGGGGTTAGCACTTGATAACTCCTTTTATATCCTTCCGTTTTTCTTTTCTTAAATTCGATAGTGGTTTAGCAGGAAGGAGCATTTTTTGTAAGAAGTATTTTCTGTGATCGTGAGCACGTGATTTTAGTTTGAGAGAGAGACAACGTGGGATGTGTTTGGGATGAGAATCGAAACAATCATCCCATTCTCTTTCACTCTAGTTCCTTTTGTTACTCTTCCCCATTTTTTCGAGTCCGGCCAAAACTATACAAACAGTCATGCAACCAAGGAAGAATCCACTTGACGAGTTGTTGTGTGAGGTTCAAGTGTCCATTCCTTCACAAGAGTACATTAGGAGGGCTATGGACGACGATGACATTGGAGAAGACAATGATTTCTCTCACGAACCGTGGCTTTGTGCCTACTTTATCCTCGACAGAGTTTTTCTCCCAAGAACCGAGCTATGAATGCAACTAATAATGAAGAGAGTTGAAGGACTGGCTGCTCCTCGGATTTCGGCGAGAAAGGCACTATTGCCTGCCTTCATCAAATTCCATTTCGAATTTGCAATTTATTACAAATCCTAATTATAAGTTATGATTTTTCTAGTTTAGTTAACTACTAAAAATCCAGTTCGTTTCTGAGTCATAATTGTCATACATAAATATAATAAATTAATATAAAAATTAACACGTATGAAAATCTTGATATCAATGTGGTTAAAATCGCGATTTAAAACTTAAGAAAAAAGAATACGCTTTTACACTTTTAGGTTACCAAAACGGTTCTACTTAGAATCGCGTTTTTCACTTACAATTGTAGTATAAAAAAACTATACTTTAAAGCTTAAAAGTTACGTTTTTAGATCACCAAAATACTTATACATAGAATTGAGATTTTCTACCACATAAATGATTTATATAAATAAATATCAACTTACTAAGTGGTAAGCTGTAATTATTTTCCCATGAACGATGATGATGAAAATAGAGTTATTGTGAAACGGTTGCAACTATAAATGTTTTCTCCAAACTACATTATACATCAAACAATATTCACAAGTGTTTAATTATAAGAAGAAGAAAAAATATTTAGAACACTAAGGATTTCAAAACACACGATCTAATCTAACTAAAAATTTACATACATATAATATTTACTAGGAAAAATGATCATATTGCAAATGTTATGAAGTATTAATCTAATCATCGATATAAAATTAAAAAATTTATAAAAACAAAGCAATAAAACCTAATTTTCCGCATGACAGGGTCTAAGCTAGTACAATTTATGTGAATTTATGTGAATTTGTTATGAAGTATAGAAGTCGCGTTTGTCCCCTTCCTCCGCATCTTAGCTGCTGCCTACAGGTTCGAGACGAGTTAGTTGAGCTAGTGGTGTAAATAATGCACAGAAGGCTGCCAATCACCATTCACCATCTAAGCTTCCTCCAATGGCGTACTGCATTCATCCTGCTGAAGATGTGGAGCAGCAGCTGATCAATCCTCTCCTCAACGAGCCCAATTCAGCTTCTTCCAACAACGAAATTTGTGAGCGATGGGAGAACTTGTGCCCGTATCTCCTGAACTCGATTTACGCAAGGCTGCCTACCTACATCGACGGCACCGAGTTCGGCTCCGTTTGCCAGAACTGGCGTCGAATTCACTGCGCCGCCACACTTTCCACTACCCCCTTGCCACTCACCGTCGAGAAGCCATGAAGTTTGACCAGCACTAGCAGCAGCAAGGACAACGTGATTGAATTCGGTGCGAAATTCGTGGTGACAAAAACGAAAAGGAAAATTACGACGACTGAAAGCCGGATGTGGACGGGCCGAATACCAGGAGGATCATCGCTTTGCTTTTTCCAGCCAAAGGATCGTCGCGAGTGCAGGCGCGTGGTGGCTGCTGGTGCAGGATCCGAAAACAAAGGAACAGGGCTTTCTTGACTGCTGCTTCAATCCCTTGCTACGGAGCCCGGCAAATCTAATCGCCCTACCCGTTTTGTCCACGTGCTCTCTGCTGGCGACTCGTTACGATGCATCCAAAGTCAAAGCGGCTTTCTTTGCGCTGCCAACTGCGAGCGATTGGAAGATCATGGTGGTTCACCCCCCGCGTCGATTCAGCACCCTCCGCCGTGGCCAGCGTCTGTGGAGGTGTTATAAATTCGGCGACCGCGGAGAATTGGATTGCATCGGCATCGGCTACAAATACGAGAACTTCTTTTGTTTGTTTGAAAACGGGGATCTACTGATTTTCTCCGTTGAGGATGGCGGCGAGCGCAGCATGTTGGCACCTGGATCTAAGCCGCCTCGACTTTCGGCGAATCTCCACCGCGTGGACAATTACCTCCGTGTTGCCAGCTCCGAAAGCGGCCTCCTGAGGGTCAGCTGGGGCAGAATTGATGAAAGTGAAGGGATCATCTTCCGGCTGCTGACGGTGGAGAAAGTAACGGCGGCGCAATTTGAGAATGATGAAGCGGTGGCTAGGTTAGAGGAAGGGCAGCGCGCGGCGGTGGTTTACCAGAATGCCCAAATTTCGCTCAAGCGGCGATGGGGCCGAAATTTTCTAACTCGCTATGGGGAGTTTATTTTCCAGTCACTTGCTTGCTTTTTTGTGTTAGGTGTTATTTTATGCCTATGCGCAAGATTATTTGTATAAAATTTTTTTTTAGATAGAAGCATAAAATTAAACTTGCCTCGATTAGGTGGTTATTGGAGTGAATGTTGATGCATCAGAGTTTTACACCTCGGACAAGCCGTACGACCTAAACTTTTAAGGAAGAAGTATGGTTTTTCTCAAATGGTCACTACTCCTATGAGAAACACGAATCATTTGCAGCTTGCAGGATAGACAACTTAATTGTGTGTCATCGTGTTTATAGAACAATAATGGCGCGGACAAGATCTCTGGTGAGGCCCTCAAGGATCTGTACGAGTCTTTCGCGACAGAGTACCCTATTGCGTCCATTGAAGATACCCTTTGACCAAGACAACTGGGAACACTACAATAAGATGACTAGTGTAATCATAGAGAAGGTTTAGATTGTGGGAGATGATCTCTTGGTCACCAACCCCAAGGTCAACTCATACAATCCTCTTCCCTTTTGTATCATTCTTCTGCATGTGTACTATATCCATTTGACCCCTGCTCATAAATCTTTTGGGTTGATTTCGGCAGAGGGTCGAGAAAGCCATCAAGGATAAGGCTTGCGATGCCCTCCTCCTCAAGGTTAACCAAAATGGATTCGTGACCGAGAGCATCAAAGTCGAGAAGATGTCGAAGCTAGCTGGATGGGGAGTGATGGCAATGTCTCGCACCGCGCCCGGTCCACCATCCGCCTCAAATACAGTCTCGCATCGTGGACTCGACGCGCAGGACAAGCCCGCCGCAGACAATCCCGCATCGTGGACTCGACGTGCACAAGCCCACCTTCCGCCTGAACTCCAGTCAACACGTCCGGCCCACGTCGCCATCCATTCCGCTCAAAACCCTTGATCCGTGCAAGTGCAACAGAGAGCCGCACCACGACACTGCCCATTAAGTAAATAAAAATTCTTCAGCCGGAGTTCAAACCCGTGCACTGACTTAGACAGTCTAGCGTGCAAGCCAGTAAGCTACAACAACAGCTTGTCCTTCTTTCTTTAACTTTTCAACCATCTCTAAATCACGAATTCATAGTTTAGTTTGTGGAATAATATATAGTCTATTCATGGGTTATTTTATAATGATAAATTAAAACACATATATACACTAGAAAATATATCTTTATTTGGTTTGATTTTGGCAAATAATACATACACTATAAATTACAATTTTGAAGAGTGTTAACAACATTTCATGTTTGAAGAAATTGTTTACTTCATGATTATATAATTTTGATGATAATTTTTTTTTTGAATTACCAAATCATGCTACCATAACCAATTTTAGATAAATTCAAAATTAAAGATCCACAATCTATTTTGATGTTCTTCGTTTTGATGAAAATAAAATCCTAAAGGTTTCTTGCAATAAATTGGGAACCGATAAAATTTTATTATTTGAGTTTTCTTTTCAACAATGTAGTATAATGATATAATGCGAAGTTAAATTTCATCCTAATTTATGTAGTGAATTAAAAATATATAATAATATCAATGACAAGTACAAGTATGTAACACTTTAGGTACAAGTATGTAACACAGAGAAGGAATTCAAAGTTGTGAAGATGTCAAAGCTTGCTGGAGAATTAAAGTGACTATATTTCTCTATTCCTACCTCCTCTTTTTTTCCAAAAAAAACCGACTCCCCCCTAAAACAAGAGCTGAAAGAGCTCATTTATAGTAACAAGGACGCGCCACATGTCATTTGTTGATTGGTAGTTGTTGAAGCTGAGATTGTGTTGCTTCTTTTTTATTGGTCGAATTTAAGGCCGCATCTCAAGCCTCCACCTACAAGGTTGATGACTCTTAGAAGTCACAATGAATGACTCTTGCAAAAAGGCACTGAAGTGTGTACTCACACAATACAAGCCCTCTTATATAGAGAGGCTGTAAAGTAGAACAAATAAATCCCACTACTAGCTGAATAGTAACCTTCTGAAATTCTGCATAGAAACCTGGAATGGAAAGCTCTTGAAGATTGTTCTTAGCGGATTAGTTGAAGCTGGAAGATGGTTCATCCTGTGGTGATTGGAATTATCTTTATACTAGTTTGTTTTGTCACGAAGTTCTGCTATGCTAATAACCATCTTGTTCTTGTTGATCTTCGTTTGCTGATTAGTTGAAGTTGGATGACAAGCCAATCAGCACAAGGGAAGGGAGTACTGGTTGCGTCTCTTGCCTGCCATTCATAAGCACAAGCAATGGTGGCCTGAAGGGCCAAATAATTACAGCATGTCAGCAACAGATGCAAAGACAGGAAGGTTGAGAGGGCCAAATTGGAGTTGCTTGGTATAGCAAGGGTCGAAGGCATGTTTCAAGTGAAGCGCGGGCGCATCTGTACAACATATTTATTTAGTGCATCAAACCTGTATAGATAGGCATAGCTAGTGGAGTTGTGTCATAGCCCAAGGAGCTTGCAATCTGATTAGCAACAACATGAGTTTCTTACAACAAGCAATGCCAATGCATAGTGGGATCTTAACAAGTAGGTACATAAAAAGTTTTCGTTAAACCAGGTAAGCAAACTAACATAAGGAAAGAAAGCAGAGTCGATTGCTTCAATGGATACCCACATTCCATTACATATATAATCAAGCATTGGTTCAGTTTTCCCTAGCAGTCTCAAACCAACTAAGCAAAACATGAGGTTTGTTTAATGCAAAATAACAAAAAGTCCAATACTTTTGAGCGCAAGAGTTTTCGTTAGAAACAAGTCCATACATAAAGAAAATAAATAAACTTACACCTAATAAATAAGTAAACCCTAAACGACTGCTCGTTTTCCAGAACCTACAAATCAAGCATCTTCTCCACCGCCACCGCTGCCTCCCGCCGCCGCTGCTGCTTTTCTCGCTTCCTCGGCCTCCAGCAGCTCGGCCACCTTAGTCTTCAACATCTCAACCTGCTCAACTCCCTCCGCCTCCGCCACCGCCGCTGCCGTTTTGGCATGCATTTCTCGCTCTTCCTTTAGATCCTTCTCCAGCTGAGTCATGTTTGCCTTCTCCGCATCAAGATTCACCTTAGCCTCCGCCAAGTCAGAATCTAGCTGTTGTTTAGCAGCCGCATCTATAGCATCCTGTGCCTCCTTGATTTTTGTGACTAGTACGGCACGGAGACAGATGAGGGCTATATAGAAAGAGAAACTATGGTTTGCTGTGTTCGGATCGCCGGAGCCCCTGGCGCCCACACCATGGCGCCGGTGGTGCTAATAAAAAAAGAAAAAGAAATCGATTGTATTAGAATGAAAACGAAAGAAAAAAAAACTAGAAAATAATAGATGGTAGATAACTTACGACAGCCAAGTGGCAGAAGCGCTGAACACAATGGGAAAGCAGCATGCGTGCGCGTGGCCACGCAGTAGCAATAGAATAGGAGCATGTTGGATGGACCGGTGACGGCAGCAGTCGCCGAGAACTGGCTCACAGCATATCCGTAAACGCACAAGAGGAGCTCGACGATGGTGATTCCATACCATGTGTTGACGTACGTCCAAAACTCGTATTTCCACTGCCTGGCCGGATCAAAGAATAGAAGCACTGACACGGCGAGAAAGTGTAACCCCAGACCAACGGAAGCGGCAACACGGTGGGCTCTATCTTGTGCATAGCTCTTCTCACCGTTGTTGTCATCGTTGCCGTAGGAGGCCAGGATGATGATGGTGGCAGCCATTTTTAGAGTAGTCAAAGAGTAAAGGAAATACCACATTGGTGGGAGAAGGAAAGTGCAAGTTGTTTTTAAGTTTGCTTTCCACTTTAGTTATTGGATAAAGTGGTTAGTGGGCTTTTGGAAAAAGTGTGGGCGATTTAATTTGACATATTAAATCGCACTACGCACTTAGCACTTTGTGAAACGACGTAACCCTTCAGATTTGAATTTTTGGCTGATTAATTACCGGAATTATTTTAATTAATTAATCCGGATAATTATTTGATTTTGAATTTTGTGAAACGACGTAACCCTTCGGAAGGGAACTGCCGTTTTCACTATAAAAGTCTGCAGCCGAATTTCTGTTCCAACGTTCATCTTCTTCTCCTGAACAAGTAGTCCTGTCTTGTCTTGTCTTCTTCTGTATGGAGCAACTGAACAAGTATTAAATGGAGAAGTGTCATATTTGTTTTTATTTTTCTTTATATGTTTTTTCTGTTGAATTTTTCTTTATATTGTTTGACTTGGTCATTCTTTGTTTCCCATGTGAACGGCTGACTTGTGTTTACTGTTTAGCTTTTCAATTTACTTTTGTAATTATTTGATTTTGAATTTTGTGAAACGACGTAACCCTTCGGAAGGGAACTGCCGTTTTCACTATAAAAGTCTGCAGCCGAATTTCTGTTCCAACGTTCATCTTCTTCTCCTTGTTTTTCCTTCACCAAAAATACAAACACAGAAGTCACGAAAGGTGCTGCTTTCTGACTTTGATTGGAGGGACTCCTGGGGGTGGTTTGCCTAAATCTTACCAGCAATGAAGTAGTGGGGGCAAATAAACACTCTAAGGAGAGTGATCTAATCACGCCTTCAATCGTTCTCTTCCATACTGTTTCCCTGAAAACCATTGCCCCTGCGATGTAGTGGAACCATCCGAATCGTTTGTGGAAGCTGGTGCAGCAGTTTTCACCAGCTTCATGCTCGTCTGCCACCGAGATGTTGACTTGAGGTTGACGAAGAAAAGCTTCATGCTCGTCCGCTACCGAGATGTTGACTTGAGGTTGAGGAAGGACATCTTCGTTGATGGGGACAGGATGATAGCTAGTTGCACTACCCATTTTCTGTTTTGATAACAATGACAAGGCAAGCTTGACAGTGAAATGGTGGGGAAGAAAACTTGATAACAAGCTCCATCTTAAAGAAAACCGACAAGGTTGCAAAAAAAAGTTGTCAGGAACATGCATCAGGGAGGCCTGACCCGTTTTGGGAATGGCTGGAAGAGGAAAAATGGGAAGAATCAAGAAGATGGTGAGAGGCAAAAATGGCAAAGGTCTGGTTTTAGTTTTAAATAAACTCTCTCTCTCTCTCTCTCTCTCTCACGAAGTAGTCGTGTCCTGTCCTGTCTTCTTCTGTATGGAGCAACTGAACATGTATTAAATGGAGAAGTGTCATATTTGTTTTTCCTTTTCTTTATATGTTTTTTCAATTGAATTTTTCTTTATATTGTTTGACTTGGTCATTCTTTGTTTCCCATGTGAGCGGCTAACTTGTGTTTACTGTTTAGCTTTAGTTTCAATTTACTTTTGTAATTATTTGATTTTGAATTTTGTGAAACGACGTAACCCTTCCGAAGGGAACTGCCGTTTTCACAATAAAAGTCTGCAGCCGAATTTCTGTTCCAACGTTCATCTTCTTCTCCTTGTTTTTCCTTCTCCAAAAACACAAACACAGAAGTCACGAAAGGTGCTGCTTTCTGAATTTGATTGGAGGGATTCCTGGGGGTGGTTTGCCTAAATCCTACCAGCAACGAAGTAGTGGGGGAAAATAAACACTCTAAGGAGAGTGATCTAATCACGCCTTCAATCGTTCTCTTCCATACTGTTTCCCTGACAGCCATTGCCCCTGCGATGTAGTGGAACCATCTGAATCGTTTGTGGAAGCTGGTGCAGCAGTTTTCACCAGCTTCATGCTCGTCCGCCACCGAGATGTTGACTTGAGGTTGAGGAAGGACATCTTCATGCTCGTACGCCCCCGAGATGTTGACTTGAGGTTGAGGAAGGACATCTTCGTTGATGGGGACAGGATGATAGCTAGTTGCATTACCCATTTTCTGGTTTGGTAACAATGACAAGGCAAACTTGGTAGTGAAATGGTGGGAAAGAAAACTTGATAACAAGCTCCATCTTAAAGAAAACCGACAAGGTTGCAAAAAAAAAAAGTTGTGAGGAACTTGCATCAGGGAGGCCAGACCCGTTTTGGGTAATGGCTGGAAGAGGAAAAATGGGAAGAACGAAGAAGATGGTGAGAGGGAAAAATGGCAAAGGTCTGGTTTTAGTTTTAATTAAACTCTCTCACGAAGTAGTCCTGACCTGTCTTCTTCTGTATGGAGCAACTGAACAAGTATTAAATGGAGAAGTGTCATTTTTGTTTTTCCTTTTTTTTATATGTTTTTTCAGTTGAATTTTTCTTTATATTGTTTGACTTGGTCATTCTTTGTTTCCCATGTGAGCGGCTGACTTGTGTTTACTGTTTAGCTTTTGTTTCAATTTACTTTTGTAATTATTTGATTTTGAATTTTGCGAAACTACGTAACCCTTCGAAAGGGAACTGACGTTTTCACTATAAAAGTCTACAGCCGAATTTCTGTTCCAACGTTCATCTTCTTCTCCTTGGTTTTCCTTCTCCAAAAACACAAACACAGAAGTCACGAAAGGTGCTGCTTTCTGACTTTGATTGGAGGGACTCCTGGGGGTGGTTTGCCTAAATCCTACCAGCAACGAAGTACTAGGGGCAAATAAACACTCTAAGGAGAGTGATCTAACCACGCCTTCAATCGTTCTCTTCCATACTGTTTCCCTGACAGCCATTGCCCCTGCGATGTATTGGAACCATCCGAATCGTTTGTGGAAGCTGGTGCAGCACTTTTCACCAGCTTCATGCTTGTCATCCACCGAGATATTGACTTGAGGTTGAGGAAGGACGTCTTCGTTGATGGGGACAGGATGATAGCTAGTTGCATTACCCATTTTCTGGTTTGGTAACAATGACATGGCAAGATTGGTAGCGAAATGGTGGGGAAGAAAACTTGATAAAAAGCTCCATCTTAAAGAAAACCGACAAGTATGCAAAAAAAAAGTTGTCAGGAACTTGCATCAGGGAGGTCAGACCCGTTTTGGTTAATGGCTGGAAGAGAAAAAATGGGAAGAATGAAGAAGATGGTGAGAGGCAAAAATGGCAAAGGTCTGGTTTTAGTTGTAACTAAACTCTCTCTCTCTCTCACGAAGTAGTCCTGTCCTGTCTTCTTCTATATGGAGCAACTGAACAAGTATTAAATGGAGAAGTGTCATATTTGTTTTTCCTTTTCTTTATATGTTTTTTCTGTTGAATTTTTCTTTATATTGTTTGACTTGGTCATTCTTTGTTTCCCATGTGAGCGGCTGACATTTGTTTACTGTTTAGCTTTTGTTTCAATTTATTTTTGTAATTATTTGATTTTGAATTTTGCGAAACGACGTAACTCTTCGGAAGGGAACTGACGTTTTCACTATAAAAGTCTGCAGCCGAATTTCTGTTCCAACGTTCAACTTCTTCTCCTCGTTTTTCCTTTTCCAAAAACACAAACAAAGAAGTCACGAAAGGTGCTGCTTTCTGAATTTGATTGGAGGGACTCCTGGGGGTGGTTTGCCTAAATCCTACCAGCAACGAAGTAGTGGAGGCAAATAAACACTCTAAGGAGAGTGATCTAATCACGCCTTTAATCGTTCTCTTCCATACTGTTTCCCTGACAGCCATTGCCCCTGCGATGTATTGGAACCATCCGAATCGTTTGTGGAAGCTGGTGCAGCAATTTTCACCAGCTTCATGCTCGTCATCCACCAAGATGTTGACTTGAGGTTGAGGAAGGACATCTTCGTTGATGAGGACAGGATGATAGCTAGTTGCATTACCCATTTTGTGGTTTGGTAACAATGACAAGGCAAGCTTGGTAGTGAAATGGTGGGGAAGAAAACTTGATAACAAGCTCCATCTTAAAAAAAACCGACAAGGTTGCAAAAAAAAAGTTGTCAGGAACTTGCATCAGGGAGGCCAGACCCGTTTTGGGTAATGGCTGGAAGAGGAAAAATGGGAAGAATGAAGAAGATGGTGAGAGGCAAAAATGGCAAAGGTCTGGTTTTAGTTTTAATTAATCTCTCTCTCTCTCTCTCTCTCTCTCTCACTCACGAAGTAGTCCTGTCCTGTCTTCTTCTGTATGGAGCAACTGAACAAGTATTAAATGGAGAAGTGTCATATTTGTTTTTCCTTTTCTTTATATGTTTTTTCTGTTGAATTTTTCTTTATATTGTTTGACTTGGTCATTCTTTGATTCCCATGTGAGCGGATGACTTGTGTTTACTGTTTAGCTTTTGTTTAAATTAACTTTTGTAATTATTTGATTTTGAATTTTGTGAAACGACGTAACCCTTCGGAAGGGAACTGCCATTTTCACTATAAAAGTCTGCAGCCGAATTTCTCTTCCAACGTTCATCTTCTTCTCCTTGTTTTTCCTTCTCCAAAAACACAAACACAGAAGTCACAAAAGGTGTTGCTTTCTGAATTTGATTGGAGGGACTCCTGGGGGTGGTTTGCCTAAATCCTACGAGCAACGAAGTAGTGGGCAAATAAATACTCTAAGGAGAGTGATCTAATCACTTCTTCAATCGTTCTCTTCCATACTGTTTCCCTAACAGTCATTGCCCCTGCGATGTAGTGGAACCATCCGAATCGTTTGTAGAAGCTGGTGCAGCAGTTTTCACCAGCTTCATGCTCGTCCGCCACCGAGATGTTGACTTGAGGTTGAGGAAGGACATCTTCGTTGATGGGGACAGGATGATAGCTAGTTGCATTACCCATTTTGTGGTTTGGTAACAATGACAAGGCAAGCTTGGTAGTGAAATGGTGGGGAAGAAAACTTGATAACAAGCTCCATCTTAAAGAAAACCGACAAGGTTGCAAAAAAAAAAAGTTGTCAGGAACTTGCATCAGGGAGGCCAGACCCGTTTTGGGTAATGGCTAGAAGAGGAAAAATGGGAAGAATGAAGAAGATGGTGAGAGGAAAAAATGGCAAAGGTCTGGTTTTAGTTTTAATTAAACTCTCTCACGAAGTAGTCCTGTCCTGTCTTCTTCTGTATGGAGCAACTGAACAAGTATTAAATGGAGAAGTGTCATTTTTGTTTTTCCTTTTTTTTATATGTTTTTTCAGTTGAATTTTTCTTTATATTGTTTGACTTGGTCATTCTTTGTTTCCCATGTGAGCGGCTGACTTGTGTTTACTGTTTAGCTTTTGTTTCAATTTACTTTTGTAATTATTTGATTTTGAATTTTGGGAAACTACGTAACCCTTCGAAAGGGAACAGACGTTTTCACTATAAAAGTCTACAGCCGAATTTCTGTTCCAACGTTCATCTTCTTCTCCTTGGTTTTCCTTCTCCAAAAACACAAACACAGAAGTCACGAAAGGTGCTGCTTTCTGACTTTGATTGGAGGGACTCCTGGGGGTGGTTTGCCTAAATCCTACCAGAAACGAAGTACTAGGGGCAAATAAACACTCTAAGGAGAGTGATCTAATCACGCCTTCAATCGTTCTCTTCCATACTGTTTCCCTGACAGCCATTGCCCCTGCGATGTATTGGAACCATCCGAATCGTTTGTGGAAGCTGGTGCAGCACTTTTCACCAGCTTCATGCTGGTCATCCACCGAGATGTTGACTTGAGGTTGAGGAAGGACATCTTCGTTGATGGGGACAGGATGATAGCTAGTTGCATTACCCATTTTCTGGTTTGGTAACAATGACATGGCAAGCTTGGTAGCGAAATGGTGGGGAAGAAAACTTGATAAAAAGCTCCATCTTAAAGAAAACCGACAAGTATGCAAAAAAAAAGTTGTCAGGAACTTGCATCAGGGAGGTCAGACCCGTTTTGGTTAATGGCTGGAAGAGAAAAAATGGGAAGAATGAAGAAGATGGTGAGAGGCAAAAATGGCAAAGGTCTGGTTTTAGTTGTAACTAAACTCTCTCTCTCTCTCTCTCTCACGAAGTAGTCCTGTCCTGTCTTCTTCTATATGGAGCAACTGAACAAGTATTAAATGGAGAAGTGTCATATTTGTTTTTCCTTTTCTTTATATGTTTTTTCTGTTGAATTTTTCTTTATATTGTTTAAATTGGTCATTCTTTGTTTCGCATGTGAGCGGCTGACTTTTGTTTACTGTTTAGCTTTTGTTTCAATTTATTTTTGTAATTATTTGATTTTGAATTTTGCGAAACGACGTAACTCTTCGGAAGGGAACTGACGTTTTCACTATAAAAGTCTGCAGCCGAATTTCTGTTCCAACGTTCAACTTCTTCTCCTCGTTTTTCCTTTTCCAAAAACACAAACACAGAAGTCACGAAAGGTGCTGCTTTCTGAATTTGATTGGAGGGACTCCTGGGGGTGGTTTGCCTAAATCCTACCAGCAACGAAGTAGTGGGGGCAAATAAATACTCTAAGGAGAGTGATCTAATCACTTCTTCAATCGTTCTCTTCCATACTGTTTCCCTAACAGCCATTGCCCTTGCGATGTAGTGGAACCATCCGAATCGTTTGTAGAAGCTGGTGCAGCAGTTTTCAACAGCTTCATGCTCGTCCGCCACCGAGATGTTGACTTGAGGTTGAGGAAGGACATCTTCGTTGATGGGGACAGGATGATAGCTAGTTGCATTACCCATTTTGTGGTTTGGTAACAATGACAAGGCAAGCTTGGTAGTGAAATGGTGGGGAAGAAAACTTGATAACAAGCTCCATCTTAAAGAAAACCGACAAGGTTGCAAAAAAAAAAAGTTGTCAGGAACTTGCATCAGGGAGGCCAGACCTGTTCTGGGTAATGGCTGAAAGAGGAAAAATGGGAAGAATGAAGAAGATGGTGAGAGGCAAAAATGGCAAAGGTCTGGTTTTAGTTTTAATTAAACTCTCTCTCTCTCTCTCACGAAGTAGTCCTGTCCTGTCCTGACTTCTTCTGTATGGAGCAACTGAACAAGTATTAAATGGAGAAGTGTCATATTTGTTTTTCCTTTTCTTTATATGTTTTTTCTGTTGAATTTTTCTTTATATTGTTTGACTTGGTCATTCTTTGTTTCCCTTGTGAGCGGATGACTTGGGTTTACTGTTTAGCTTTTGTTTCAATTTACTTTTGTAATTATTTGATTTTGAATTTTGTGAAATGACGTAACCCTTCGAAAGGGAACTGCCATTTTCACTATACAAGTCTGCAGCCGAATTTCTCTTCCAACGTTCATCTTCTTTTCCTTGTTTTTCCTTCTCCAAAAACACAAACACAGAAGTCACGAAAGGTGCTGCTTTCTGAATTTGATTGGAGGGACTCCTGGGGGTGGTTTGCCTAAATCCTACCGGCAACGAAGTAGTGGGGGCAAATAAATACTCTAAGGAGAGTGATCTAATCACTTCTTCAATCGTTCTATTCCATACTGTTTCCCTAACAGCCATTGCCCCTGCGATGTAGTGGAACCATCCGAATCGTTTGTAGAAGCTGGTGCAGCATTTTTCACCAGCTTCATGCTCGTCCGCCACCGAGATGTTGACTTGAGGTTGAGGAAGGACATCTTCGTTGATGGGGACAGGATGATAGCTAGTTGCATTACCCATTTTGTGGTTTGGTAACAATGACAAGGCAAGCTTGGTAGTGAAATGGTGGGGAAGAAAACTTGATAACAAGCTCCATCTTAAAGAAAACCGACAAGGTTGCAAAAAAAAAAAGTTGTCAGGAACTTTCATCAGGGAGGCCAGACCCGTTTTGGGTAATGGCTGGAAGAGGAAAAATGGGAAGAATGAAGAAGATGGTGAGAGGGAAAAATGGCAAAGGTCTGGTTTTAGTTTTAATTAAACTCTCTCACGAAATAGTCCTGTCCTGTCTTCTTCTGTATGGAGCAACTGAACAAGTATTAAATGGAGAAGTGTCATTTTTATTTTTCCTTTTTTTTATATGTTTTTTCAGTTGAATTTTTCTTTATATTGTTTGACTTGGTCATTCTTTGTTTTCCATGTGAGCGGCTGACTTGTGTTTACTGTTTAGCTTTTGTTTCAATTTACTTTTGTAATTATTTGATTTTGAATTTTGCGAAACTACGTAACCCTTCGAAAGGGAACTGACGTTTTCACTATAAAAGTCTACAGCCGAATTTCTGTTCCAACGTTCATCTTCTTCTCCTTGGTTTTCCTTCTCCAAAAACACAAACGCAGAAGTCACGAAAGGTGTTGCTTTCTGACTTTGATTGGAGGGACTCCTGGGGGTGGTTTGCCTAAATCCTACCAGCAACGAAGTACTAGGGGCAAATAAACACTCTAAGGAGAGTGATCTAATCACGCCTTCAATCGTTCTCTTCCATACTGTTTCCCTGACAGCCATTGCCCCTGCGATGTATTGGAACCATCCGAATCGTTTGTGGAAGCTGGTGCAGCACTTTTCACCAGCTTCATGCTTGTCATCCACCGAGATGTTGACTTGAGGTTGAGGAAGGACATCTTCGTTGATGGGGACAGGATGATAGCTAGTTGCATTACCCATTTTCTGGTTTGGTAACAATGACATGGCAAGCTTGGTAGCGAAATGGTGGGGAAGAAAACTTGATAAAAAGCTCCATCTTAAAGAAAACCGACAAGTATGCAAAAAAAAAGTTGTCAGGAACTTGCATCAGGGAGGTCAGACCCGTTTTGGTTAATGGCTGGAAGAGAAAAAATGGGAAGAATGAAGAAGATGGTGAGAGGCAAAAATGGCAAAGGTCTGGTTTTAGTTGTAACTAAACTCTCTCTCTCTCTCTCTCTCTCTCACGAAGTAGTCCTGACCTGTCTTCTTCTATATGGAGCAACTGAACAAGTATTAAATGGAGAAGTGTCATATTTGTTTTTCCTTTTCTTTATATGTTTTTTCTGTTGAATTTTTCTTTATATTTTTTGACTTGGTCATTCTTTGTTTCGCATGTGAGCGGCTGACTTTTGTTTACTGTTTAGCTTTTGTTTCAATTTATTTTTGTAATTATTTGATTTTGAATTTTGCGAAACGACGTAACTCTTCGGAAGGGAACTGACGTTTTCACTATAAAAGTCTGCAGCCGAATTTCTGTTCCAACGTTCAACTTCTTCTCCTCGTTTTTCCTTTTCCAAAAACACAAACACAGAAGTCACGAAAGGTGCTGCTTTCTAATTTTATTGGAGGGACTCCTGGGGGTGGTTTGCCTAAATCCTACCAGCAACGAAGTAGTGGGGGCAAATAAATACTCTAAGGAGAGTGATCTAATCACTTCTTCAATCGTTCTCTTCGATACTGTTTCCCTAACAGCCATTGCCCCTGCGATGTAGTGGAACCGTCCGAATCGTTTGTAGAAGCTGGTGCAGCAGTTTTCACCAACTTCATGCTCGTCCGCCACCGAGATGTTGACTTGAGGTTGAGGAAGGACATCTTCGTTGATGGGGACAGGATGATAGCTAGTTGCATTACCCATTTTGTGGTTTGGTAACAATGACAAAGCAAGCTTGGTAGTGAAATGGTGGGGAAGAAAACTTGATAACAAGCTCCATCTTAAAGAAAACCGACAAGGTTGCAAAAAAAAAAAGTTGTCAGGAACTTGCATCAGGGAGGCCAGACCTGTTCTGGGTAATGGCTGAACGAGGAAAAATGGGAAGAATGAAGAAGATGGTGAGAGGCAAAAATGGCAAAGGTCTGCTTTTAGTTTTAATTAAACTCTCTCTCTCTCTCTCTCACGAAGTAGTCCTGTCCTGTCCTGACTTCTTCTGTATGGAGCAACTGAACAAGTATTAAATGGAGAAGTGTCATATTTGTTTTTCCTTTTCTTTATATGTTTTTTCTGTTGAATTTTTCTTTATATTGTTTGACTTGGTCATTCTTTGTTTCCCTTGTGAGCGGATGACTTGTGTTTACTGTTTAGCTTTTGTTTCAATTTACTTTTGTAATTATTTGATTTTGAATTTTGTGAAACGACGTAACCCTTCAGAAGGGAACTGCCATTTTCACTATAAAAGTCTGCAGCCGAATTTCTCTTCCAACGTTCATCTTCTTCTCCTTGTTTTTCCTTCTCCAAAAACACAAACACAGAAGTCACGAAAGGTGCTGCTTTCTGAATTTGAATGGAGGGACTCCTGGGGGTGGTTTGCCTAAATCCTACCAGCAACGAAGTAGTGGGGGCAAATAAATACTCTAAGGAGAGTGATCTAATCACTCCTTCAATCGTTCTCTTCCATACTGTTTCCCTAACAGCCATTGCCCCTGCGATGTAGTGGAACCATCCGAATCGTTTGTAGAAGCTGGTGCAGCAGTTTTCACCAGCTTCATGCTCGTCCGCCACCGAGATGTTGACTTGAGGTTGAGGAAGGACATCTTCGTTGATGGGGACAGGATGATAGCTAGTTGCATTACCCATTTTGTGGTTTGGTAACAATGACAAGGCAAGCTTGGTAGTGAAATGGTGGGGAAGAAAACTTGATAACAAGCTCCATCTTAAAGAAAACCGACAAGGTTGCAAAAAAAAAAGTTGTCAGGAACTTGCATCAGGGAGGCCAGACCAGTTTTGGGTAATGGCTGAAAGAGGAAAAATGGGAAGAATGAAGAAGATGGTGAGAGGCAAAAATGGCAAAGGTCTGGTTTTAGTTTTAATTAAACTCTCTCTCTCTCTCTCACGAAGTAGTCCTGTCCTGTCCTGACTTCTTCTGTATGGAGCAACTGAACAAGTATTAAATGGAGAAGTGTCATATTTGTTTTTCCTTTTCTTTATATGTTTTTTCTGTTGAATTTTTCTTTATATTGTTTGACTTGGTCATTCTTTGTTTCTCATGTGAGCGGATGACTTGTGTTTACTGTTTAGCTTTTGTTTAAATATACTTTTGTAATTATTTGATTTTGAATTTTGTGAAACGATGTAACCCTTCAGAAGGGAACTGCCATTTTCACTATAAAAGTCTGCAGCCGAATTTCTCTTCCAACGTTCATCTTCTTCTCCTTGTTTTTCCTTCTCCAAAAACACAAACACAGAAGTCACGAAAGGTGCTGCTTTCTGAATTTGAATGGAGGGACTCCTGGGGGTGGTTTGCCTAAATCCTACCAGCAACGAAGTAGTGGGGGCAAATAAATACTCTAAGGAGAGTGATCTAATCACTCCTTCAATCGTTCTCTTCCATACTGTTTCCCTAACAGCCATTGCCCCTGCGATGTAGTGGAACCATCCGAATCGTTTGTAGAAGCTGGTGCAGCAGTTTTCACCAGCTTCATGCTCGTCCGCCACCGAGATGTTGACTTGAGGTTGAGGAAGGACATCTTCGTTGATGGGGACAGGATGATAGCTAGTTGCATTACCCATTTTCTGGTTTGGTAACAATGACAAGGCAAGCTTGGTAGCGAAATGGTGGGGAAGAAAACTTGATAACAAGCTCCATCTTAAAGAAAACCGACAAGGTTGCAAAAAAAAAAGTTGTCAGGAACTTGTATCAGGGAGGCCAGACCCGTTTTGGGTAATGGCTGGAAGAGGAAAAATGGGAAGAATGAAGAAGATGGTGAGAGGCAAAAATGGCAAAGGTCTGGTTTTAGTTTTAATTAAATTCTCTCTCTCTCTCTCTCTCTCTCTCTCTCTCTCTCACGAAGTACTCCTGTCCTGTCTTCTTCTATATGGAGCAACTGAACAAGTAATAAAATGGAGAAGTGTCATATTTGGTTTTCCTTTTCTTTATATGTTTTTTCTGTTGAATTTTTCTTTATATTGTTTGACTTGGTCATTCTTTGTTTCCCATGTGAGCGGCTGACTTGTGTTTACTGTTTAGCTTTTGTTTAAATTTACTTTTGTAATTATTTGATTTTGAATTTTGTGAAACGACGTAACCCTTCGGAAGGGAACTGCCGTTTTCACTATAAAATTATGCAGCCGAATTTCTGTTCCAACGTTCATTTTCTTCTCCTTGTTTTTCCTTCTCCAAAAACACAAACACAGAAGTCACGAAAGGTGCTGCTTTCTGACTTTGATTGGAGGACTCCTGGGGGTGGTTTGCCTAAATCCTACCAGCAACGAAGTAGTGGGGGCAAATAAACACTCTAAGAAGAGTGATCTAATCACGCCTTCAATCGCTCTCTTCCATACTGTTTGCCTGACAGCCATTGCCCCTGCGATGTAGTGGAACCATCCGAATCATTTGTGGAAGCTGGTGCAACAGTTTTCACCAGCTTCATGCTCGTCCGCCACCGAGATGTTGACTTGAGGTTGAGGAAGGACATCTTCGTTGATGGGGACAGGATGATAGCTAGTTGGCTTACCCATTTTCTGGTTTGGTAACAATAACAAGGCAAGCTTGGTAGTGAAATGGTGGGGAAGAAAACTTGATAACAAGCTCCATCATTAAAAAAAAACCGACAAGGTTGCAAAAAAAAAGTTGTCAGGAACTTGCATCAAGGAGGCCAGACCCGTTTTGGGTAGTGGCTGGAAGAAGAAAAATGGGAAGAATGAAGAAGATGGTGAGAGGCATAAATGGCAAAGGTATGCTTTTAGTTTTAATTAAACTCTCTCTCTCTCTCTCTCTCTCTCTCTCTCTCTCTCTCACGAAGTAGTCCTGTCCTGTCTTCTTCTGTATGGAGCAACTGAACAAGTATTAAATGGAGAAGTGTCATATTTGTTTTTCCTTTTCTTTATATGTTTTTTCTGTTGAATTTTTCTTTATATTGTTTGACTTGGTCATTCTTTATTTCCCATGTGAGCGGCTGACTTGTGTTTACTGTTTAGCTTTTGTTTAAATATACTTTTGTAATTATTTGATTTTGAATTTTGTGAAACGATGTAACCCTTCAGAAGGGAACTGCCATTTTCACTATAAAAGTCTGCAGCCGAATTTCTCTTCCAACGTTCATCTTCTTCTCCTTGTTTTTCCTTCTCCAAAAACACAAACACAGAAGTCACGAAAGGTGCTGCTTTCTGAATTTGAATGGAGGGACTCCTGGGGGTGGTTTGCCTAAATCCTACCAGCAACGAAGTAGTGGGGGCAAATAAATACTCTAAGGAGAGTGATCTAATCACTCCTTCAATCGTTCTCTTCCATACTGTTTCCCTAACAGCCATTGCCCCTGCGATGTAGTGGAACCATCCGAATCGTTTGTAGAAGCTGGTGCAGCAGTTTTCACCAGCTTCATGCTCGTCCGCCACCGAGATGTTGACTTGAGGTTGAGGAAGGACATCTTCGTTGATGGGGACAGGATGATAGCTAGTTGCATTACCCATTTTCTGGTTTGGTAACAATGACAAGGCAAGCTTGGTAGCGAAATGGTGGGGAAGAAAACTTGATAACAAGCTCCATCTTAAAGAAAACCGACAAGGTTGCAAAAAAAAAAGTTGTCAGGAACTTGTATCAGGGAGGCCAGACCCGTTTTGGGTAATGGCTGGAAGAGGAAAAATGGGAAGAATGAAGAAGATGGTGAGAGGCAAAAATGGCAAAGGTCTGGTTTTAGTTTTAATTAAATTCTCTCTCTCTCTCTCTCTCTCTCTCTCTCTCTCTCTCACGAAGTACTCCTGTCCTGTCTTCTTCTATATGGAGCAACTGAACAAGTAATAAAATGGAGAAGTGTCATATTTGGTTTTCCTTTTCTTTATATGTTTTTTCTGTTGAATTTTTCTTTATATTGTTTGACTTGGTCATTCTTTGTTTCCCATGTGAGCGGCTGACTTGTGTTTACTGTTTAGCTTTTGTTTAAATTTACTTTTGTAATTATTTGATTTTGAATTTTGTGAAACGACGTAACCCTTCGGAAGGGAACTGCCGTTTTCACTATAAAATTATGCAGCCGAATTTCTGTTCCAACGTTCATTTTCTTCTCCTTGTTTTTCCTTCTCCAAAAACACAAACACAGAAGTCACGAAAGGTGCTGCTTTCTGACTTTGATTGGAGGACTCCTGGGGGTGGTTTGCCTAAATCCTACCAGCAACGAAGTAGTGGGGGCAAATAAACACTCTAAGAAGAGTGATCTAATCACGCCTTCAATCGCTCTCTTCCATACTGTTTGCCTGACAGCCATTGCCCCTGCGATGTAGTGGAACCATCCGAATCATTTGTGGAAGCTGGTGCAACAGTTTTCACCAGCTTCATGCTCGTCCGCCACCGAGATGTTGACTTGAGGTTGAGGAAGGACATCTTCGTTGATGGGGACAGGATGATAGCTAGTTGGCTTACCCATTTTCTGGTTTGGTAACAATAACAAGGCAAGCTTGGTAGTGAAATGGTGGGGAAGAAAACTTGATAACAAGCTCCATCATTAAAAAAAAACCGACAAGGTTGCAAAAAAAAAGTTGTCAGGAACTTGCATCAAGGAGGCCAGACCCGTTTTGGGTAGTGGCTGGAAGAAGAAAAATGGGAAGAATGAAGAAGATGGTGAGAGGCATAAATGGCAAAGGTATGCTTTTAGTTTTAATTAAACTCTCTCTCTCTCTCTCTCTCTCTCTCTCTCTCTCTCTCACGAAGTAGTCCTGTCCTGTCTTCTTCTGTATGGAGCAACTGAACAAGTATTAAATGGAGAAGTGTCATATTTGTTTTTCCTTTTCTTTATATGTTTTTTCTGTTGAATTTTTCTTTATATTGTTTGACTTGGTCATTCTTTGTTTCCCATGTGAGCGGCTGACTTGTTTTTACTGTTTAGCTTTTGTTTCAATTTACTTTTGTAATATTGAAATCTAATTCATAAAACTCAATTCAAATGGCATAATTTGTTCCTTTCTAGCCTCATTAGTAATTATAGAAATCAATCGCATGAAATGTGAAACTAACAAGGCTCTTAGAATTCAGAGTCAATAAAGCGCTTAACGTAAGGGCATATGCAATGAAGTCATATTTTAGGCGATGTTGAAAGCAGTAATAGCAAAATATCTCATAGAATCACAAGTTCATGGACCATAATTACAAGTCATGGGACGAGGATATCATTTGTTGATTTTAACGTGTTAGATTTTGATTATATTTATTGGATACAACCTTGGGGGGATCAAGAAGAATTCGTGTACTAAAAAATCATTCGATTCATAGGATATTTGTGAATCATGGATGGCCAAGGTATGATGAAGCAAAGGAAGGCTGCCAATGTTATTCTAGACAGTTCAGTTTTGGTTTGAAGTTAGAACCAACTAAATTCTCTTTTATGGGCTTACCCAAGTCAATTAGCTACATTAAACTAATAATAAAAGTTATGAACAAGGTTGAAAAAAAGTTTTGTACTGTTATGGGAGAAAAGAACAACATTTTGGCCTGGCCTGGGTTTTCATTGACTCTCTCTCTCTCTCCCTCTGACACACATTCTGATGGAGTAACGAGGAAGCAAACTCCTCTCTGTCTTGTCTTGTCTTCTTATGTGTATGTAGTACGTGGCTTGTTGGGTTGAGAGTTGAGACGTACGTTGGTAGAGAGAAGACGACAAGTACATACTTGCCCTTTTCTTTCTTCTCTTTTTCGATAATTGTGAATGATATTGAAATGAAAAAAAGAATGTACAAAGTGCAGAAAGGATCAGAAGGACTGATCCGAAACAAACTAAAAGGATAGGAAAAGTAACGAGGAGGACAGGTACTACTGTACTGGAAACACAAAGGACAAACAAAAAAACCAAACAAGCTAGGTGCTCCATCTACTGGCAACAACCAAACCAAACCAAACTCCATCAATACAATAGGTGATCAGCTAACTGAGGAAACTAACTAAAGGTCTCAGTAGGGTGAAATCAGGAGAACAAGAAATCCACGCAAGTCGCAAATAAGACTGCTGATCTCTTCAGTCACGAGTGAAGTACATGACAGACATCCCCTTTCTTGCATGCCTTGTATTTTCACTCTTTTAGTTTAGGTTAGTAATAACATTTCTTTTTTAAATGCAGCATTAAAGAAACAAACAAGTTCCCTTTACAATGAAACAAGTTATCAAGAAGGTGACGCGCGGTTTGGGGTTTTGACAATCTTTAATTTGTATGCCCATTACTCCATTAGTCAAGTATGGACATGTCTGCTGCCAGGCAGAGGAAACCCCTAATTGAATTCCAACTCAAGACCCGCTAATCTCTCTCTCTCTGGCCTTAAACGTCCAGGGTTTGTTGGGATGAAATTCATTACCCTTCTCATGAGAAAAGTGGAATGCTGTGAAATACAAGGAAAATGAAGGGGTGAAACCACACATAATTAATTAATTGACTTCTCCTTGTCTCCTATCTTTATATATATATATATAGAGAGAGAGTTTCTGTTTCGATCTTCACCAAACCAGAGCTGAAGTTGACCCTTAGCTTCTTCTTTGAGTGTGCCCCCATCTTCATCTTGGAGCAATGACTGACAACCAAACAGAATTCTTTAGTTCATACATAGAAAGGAAGGTGGTGCTTGGTTGGTGTCATGTGCAGCAGCAGTTTTTATAAAGAGAAAAAAAAAATTGATCACGTCGAAAACATTGGACATAGCTATTAGCTAGGTTACCTTGTACCTTAGAAATATCATCCAATTCAATGTGTTGATCGAGATTCCCACCGTATTAAAAGGGAGGGACAGTTTTGAGCATGCTAGCTATTGAAGAACCATGTCAGTTATGCTCTTTTTTTATTTCTTATTTTTGTTTTCTTGTCATTTGCTAAAAATGGGCCCTTTTTTCGTTCTTTTAATTAATTTTTTTGATTTATTATTTTTATTAATCGAAAGAAAACAATTCAGAAATAAAAAAAAT